TCCGAGGCTTTGTGCGGCCAGAGAAGCGACACTTGCCAGCGGCTGTCTTCCAAGCAATTGTCTCGGTAACGAGCAAGTAGTTAAGTAGTGGCCCGTCACCGGGGCGTCGACGACGACGACGGGCTGTAAAAGGTTTCAGCCGCATGTTTTTCCGTTTGCCCGAGGATCGTTTGTGAAATCTTCGGAAGCCTCAGGTGCCGCTTCGATAATAGCCTGCTAACCGGACGCCCGACCGACCGACCGATCCATCGGGCTGGTTAGTTTCGACTTGACGAATAGACGTAATTAAATACTCGTTTGCACGATCGATTCGAAACAGCTCGCGGCCGGCGTTCGGTAATGAAAAGTTTCTGTCTCTGGATTTTATTGCCCCGAGATCGATCGATGCACGCATCACTTTCGTTTTTGCGACCGGCTGATCGTGAGGGGACTGTCACGGACAGGTTTAACAGCGAAGAAGGAAGGAACGTCCGCGTTTATGGCGATGCGACGACCTCCCACTCTGCGTCGCGTCGCGCCGCATCGGGTCGGATGATCGCGTGTTCAAGGATTTACCTCGATTTTTCCCGCCCCGGTGAGAAACCGTCGTCCCGCGAAATTTTTATCTAGCCGATGACGACGGGTGCCAATTCTCAAAACGAAAAATCGGCGGAATCGTCATTCGTCATTGAAAAATTGTCCGGCCGCCTGGTGAATCTCGTACAGTTTTAATTTTCTGGAGCGAAACTAATTGGAACCTGGCACGTATCGACCGGAGTAACCGACGATACGAAAAGTTTGATGTCCGGACGCGATAACGAAATCTGCACGCGAGGCGCAAATCGGAATTCGAACAACGATGAGGTTTAATCGGTGGACAGATTAATTAGAGATTTTTCTGTTGCGCGTCACGGGTAATCTGCTAATTTTTAGTGCGCGCGTCGGTGTTCTCGCGAGCCGACGAGAAAGTGCAGGAGCACTCGGAGGCCGAGGAGGGATAGGATTTGGGGTAGCATCGGTAGAAGGGCGGCAGAGATATGGGCCAGGTAACCAGGTCACCGCGAGTAAGGGCATTGCTTTTGCAACCGCCAACCACCGCCGACACCGTCACCCTCCCCCGTTCGTGCCACCTAACCTTCCCCTCCGAGCACCCTTCTCTTTTTCTCTCGACCCCCTGTTCCCCTTTTCCACGTTTCGATCTCTTCCCCTTCCTTCCTTCCTACCTTCCTTCATCGGTCCGCTCCGCCACTCGATACACGACACACAAACAACTGTTTCCATCTCCGCGATGCCTCCAATAGATGTCCACCACTTTGTCCCTCGCCGTTACGCCGCTCTTTCGACTCCTACCGCTCTTACGTCCACGTATTTCTTTTCTCTACCCTCGCGTCTTTCCGCGCCGATGTTCAAAAACCTAGGCACCCCATACACGTGCACTTAACACACTTTCTTTGACTCTCAATTTTTTACCGAATTTTTTTCTTACATATAAAAAGATTTACGGAACGGAAAATCGACAATTATAAATCTATACAGAATGAGGCACTTAAAACAGGCCACCTGAATAACTTGGCTCGTTGTATTGGCTATACAGTCAATCCGAAAAGTTTATGTACCTTAGAAAAACGCATTTCCTATAATTAAAAAGAAATCAGACGTCGGAAGAATAATGCTAATAATAAATAGCTACGTGCTAAAAAGTATAGAAGGAAATATCCAATTAAGTATTGACGCTGACGAAAATTTTTTTTTTCAAAATTGCGAAAAATGCTTCAAATAAAAGTTGTTTTCCTTCTAACTTCGATATTTAACGAGTTACGTATGATTATTTGGCATTTTATTGATGTTGACAAAATCCCAGCGTCGAAACGGCGAACTTTTGGCAAAAAATTTCGTTTTTCCTTAATAACTCCTAAACCGTTGAATCTACGGGAAAATTGCATACGACCTTTCTTGTAGAGGGCGACGAGATCTATAATTTCTGTATAAAAGTTCTTCGCTAGCATTAATAGTTTATGAGTTATTGACGAAAAACGAAAAAACAGTTCTTTGCAAATTACTCGTTAACTATTGACGCTAGCGAAAAACTTTTACATGGAAATTGTAGATCTCGTCGCCCTCTACAAGAAAGGTTATATGCAATTTTTCCGTACGTTCAACGGTTTGGGAGTTATTGGCCAAAAACGAAAATTTGGAAGGAATTGAAGGGGTACCCTTGGAAAAATCTCGGAAAAATCGAAAATTTTTTTTGTTGTTTATTATTAGCAATGTTCTTCTGACGTCTGATTTCTTTTTAAAAAATTCGTTTCTAAAGTGCATAAACTTTTGGAATTGACTGTATAGCCAATACATCCTTAAGTGCCCTGTATATGCAGATGAAAGAAAATTCATCAATATTGGCATTGGTTATCCCAGAGACATTGCATAATTAAGACATAGGCAATCTCGTGAAGAAACTGAAATTATTTTATAAAACGTTGATATATTAGCGTGTGACCTGACAATTAGACAGACCCACAGAGGATTAACTCCAATGTCCTCGAGTCAACATTTTCTAATAGCACGCGTATTTGGAACCGTCAACTGCGAGAAGCATTGACCAGTTAATTAATTTCGTTTAAAGAGCACAGAAAAGTTTCGTGAGTCGGCGAAAGGTTTAACGTTCGTTCAGCTCGTTCCGTCTTAGCCGAGCGAAGTTTTCCGATAGCAACTTCGCCGTCCGTGATTCATTTATATTTTCGCGTAAAATCATTCCTACAGACCGCGGAGGTAATTAATCTAGCGTGCCGGCCAAGTATGAATACTCGTGCCGGAAAATATGAAAACTCGTTCGCGAACCAGCCACGGTACCCAGAGTACGGTTTTCGGTTGCACGAACGTCGTTCCAGAATTTAGCAGTTGGAAATTGCCGCGTCAGGTCGACTCGACAATTCCCTTTGCGTTCACCGATCGGCGATCGCGTCGAACAATCGTCGAATCGTTGCGTTATCCATAGTCGTGCGAATGGAAAGAAAAAGCGCGATGTGTAATTCAGGATGTTTTATAAAAGAATCGTCCGTGTAAAGAGCATTATTAATTTCGTGTCTCTCGTCTTTGATCTCGTCGACCTGACCGAGACAAAGGATTACGTACTCCGGCGCTATTCCGAAAGGGGGATAAATTAATGTCACGAATCCGGAGCGAACAATGACAGGCCGAATTACGAGTCGCGTGTGTACGCGAGTGCAGACGTGGATGAAATGGAAGAACCTCGGGGTAACGGCGTGAACAAACACGCGTGGCCTCCGTGTGTATGCGACGGGCGAGAAGAAACTAGAGCGAGAAGAAAAGGAATTTGGAGTCGATATGCATTAGTCTGAGTGAAAAGAAATTAACGCGGTCCATCACCGGAATGAAACGTGTCTCGTCACCGCGGATTCGTCGCAAACGAACCGTTTCGACGAAACTGTATCCGATTTCCGATTCCTCCCTTTTTCCTTTCGCCCAGTCGTCGCGGAGTCGGGGAAACGTTCTGTGCGACCGTCGTAATCGCACGTACTCGGAAACGTTGTCTCCCGGCGGCTCTGTTCGTTATTCGGGTTAAGGATCCCGGGATAGGAAGGCTGGAAAAAAGATTAGATGGAAATTGTACGAGCCGACGCGGTGACAGCGGACGCGTCGACGGGGTATTACGAGAAAAGGAAATCGGAAAATGACGTATTGTTTGACAGAGAGAGAGAGAGAGAGAGAGAGAGAGAGAGAGAGAGAGAGAGAGAGAGAGAGCGCCCCCTCCCACGTTGTAGCGATCTAATTGTAAGTAAAAGAACGAAGAGGTGGCTGATTAAGGGGGTTGAGGGTGAGCAGCCGAGCGACGAGCGGGCGAAGGGGTAGGAGGACGCGGCGAAGAGGAGAGGACCGGAAGGGATCGGGAAGGGGCGAGATAGTTTGGAGGGGAGGTTCGGTACCGCATCTGCCTAGCTCGAACGTAGATGTACTCGGAGAGCAGAGGCTGGAGAGAATTGGGTCAACCAACTTGGAGTGTACTTCAGGTGTAGCTACCTATCTGACCCACCTACAGACTCACCAGCCCCTAGAATTCCCCCTCGGCCGGCTATCCCTTTCGCGTTCTTCTCAAAGAATCTATCCCCCTTTTCTTTGCTCGTTAACTGTGCGGCGAACCGCTGCGCCGCCACCGCGCCGTCCGTCCTCCGGACTCATCGAATCAAAACTTTTACAGCCCCGGGTTCGTGTTTTATCTTTAAGTTTCCTTCGACCCTTCGACACCAATTCCGTTAACTCGCTCCGCAAACTTTCCGCGCCTCCGTGCAGGTTCCTCCTCAGCCCAATTACTAACCGATTTCAATGTCACATCCCATATCGTTCGCCTCGTTCCACGCCGAATCGCGCATCACTTTCGCCGATCACGTTTCCAGGCCGTCCCGCTTCTCCCGTTAAACTATCGCTCGCGCGTTCCACGATTCGAGTCGTAGATCAACAAACGAGCGACAGCACAGTTCCAGAGTCTGCGGTTAAATCGAACGGAGCCTACTTCTGCCAGTTTGACAAGCTCCCACTACGAATAGCTGCACTCCGCAACTCTTCCCCGGCTGCCACGTATCGTCAATCGAAATTCGCCTAACTTAGCGTTTCTCCGAGTTACCGAGAGAAAACCAATGCGAACCTAGTTCGTGTTATCGTTCCCGAGGCAACCCGCGAACAAAGTTGGCTTGGCAGCGACACAAAACGCTCTGCCGCGAGCTGTTCGACGAGTATCAGAATTTTATTGCCCGGCTCGATTCGCTCGGCCGAAAAACATCGTTTCGTATTCGTCTCTTTTCATGCAATCGCAACGTAATTATAACGCGGTCTCGTCGTCGGAGTGTGCGCAGGACTATTTAGAGTACATCTAGGTCAGCCACTGACCCATCTTATCGACTCCGATCTATTCGTCTCGCATCGGGTTCCAAAATCGACTGGCACAGTTATAGAAAAAGAACATGTCCGACGGGCCACGTAATGAACGAACGTTTTTCTGATTGCAGGAAGCGTATAGAAAATGGGTGTGCAGCTCCCTGGTGCCTTACTTTGCTCACGGGGGACCGCAGGATTTGGACAGTTCGAACAGTTGGGCAGGGAGCAGGCTCAAGCCCTGTCGGTCCTTCTGCCAGTCCGTGGAGCAACGTTGCCCTTACTTACTTCCCGGCGATCGTGCTCCCGCGTACCCCACACAATACGCCGGCGAGCCTACTTTCCTCTGCACAGGTAACGGCCAACCTAATCCTACAACCGTACGACGTAACAAGCGTCTCGTTCAAATCTCGAAGAAGGGTAATATCGTTTCTGGCACCCTCTCGTTTCACCAGTGGGATACTTCCCAAATTCAGTCTTTTCCGCAGATTTAACCTTTCAGTTCTCTCGAATTGTCGATACATTTTTGCCTCATGATGGAGGCTTTCATAGAATCATTCATTCTAACAAAGAATTATACAAAATTACAAAATTTTGTCATTGTTGCGTTCATATTTTTTCATAAATGAAATGAAAATACTATCCTTCGACATAAGAATTGAAGATGTAATAACTTTTTTAACACTAGAAAGACTGAAACTTAGTATATACCTATCTTGCCCAAAAGCAGTCAAAATGACTGCATTGTGAAAGAATAATGTGTAAAGAAATTTGTCTAAAATTAATTTTTAATATTTTTTATATTATTTACAGTCATATAACAAGTTATTAGTAAATGTTAACAATAAAAAAATTTACTTCACTTGGGAAAAAAAATAATTTATGCATTATTATTTGTACATTTGCCCAAAAGAAGTCAAAATGACTTCCTTGGGCAATCTAGTGTTAATAGACTTGCAAAATTTCTGAAATTTCGTACTGCTTTTGATTAATGTAATATTATAGTAACTGTTAAAAGTTGAATGCTTTGTCATTGTTTTTATATAAGAGTTCGTACAACCTTAAGACGCGTGAGTAGGATAGAGAGGAGGTGGTTGGAAAACGTAATGATTGCAGATCCGAACATCCCCGAGACCGGAAAGCAAGCCGCGCGAGCCGTGCACAGCACCAACGAGGATGAGTGTTGCTTCCACGCGTGTTCCGAGGAACTGCCGGGATCGGGTATCTGCGCGAACTGCACCGATCGGGAACTACGAAGACGCGGGAGAAGCCACGATCCTCCGACGGCCCCCCGCTGTGAGGTCAACACCATTCAACCAGCTTCCACAGGTACGTCTCTCGGTATAATGGCAAAAAGGTTTCAACGTCCAAAGCGCTGTTACACACTCACTATCAGTGAAATACATTCTTTGTGTCATTGCATCGTTCGAGAACTTGTTGCCAGCTAAAAAACTAATCGACCGTTTGATGCTCCGTTTTAAAATCTTTCATAATCCTCGCATCTTTCCTCTTTCCTTTATTACAGAGACGCGTTTCTCGCTGTGCGATTCGCTCTCGAGCTACGGTCGTACTCTCGCGGGGCTGGGGAACGATCGTAAACCCGAAGTGCATTCTTATTAATTCACGACGCATCACGCAAATTTAGCGTGAAAACGTATCGATTCGTTCGACGAGGCGACAACTCGAACTGGTCACGGATTCACCGATATTCCGTCCGCTCGGTTAAATATTTGTAAACGGGCGAAAAACAGCGTTTTCTAGTTATCGCGTTACACGAGTAAATACGCGAAAAATCGCGACCGACCGAGAGGCGGTGGTAAACAGGACTGGGAAAAGTTTGAATGAGTAAAAAAAAAAAAGAAAAAATGTGAATAAACTGATCGATCGGTGATCCCGGTTCACGTTTGCTGGTATCATTTCATCCGATTCGTTTTATGTCGTATCAATAGGCTGGAGGGTCCGCGGCGTGGCCGGATCGTTCGGGAACATTACCGGTGAACGCCGGGAAATTTTCGTCGGATATTCGCGACGCGGCTACTATGGACCGTCAAGCACAGAGTTTGTTATCGTTCGATTTGTACACGCCGAGAGTCAATTTCCGCGCACCCACAGTAAATTCGGATTGATCACTGACGAATTTAAGTGCACAGCGTGTCGGGACTTCCGTTCGCCGTGCATCCTGGTGCATCCTCACTATTATCACCGAGGAGAGATTACTAAAGAGTGGCAGTCTTTATTTATGGGACCTCGTGGCCCAAAAAGTTTTTGGCGCTCTGTAGGATATGCTGGACCGGGAAGTAAGAAACACCAAGCAAAACTGTCGCCGGTCTAGTCCAATCAACGATATTTGGGGTAAAATGCAGCAAAATGCAAATGTAAAAGTAATGAGTTTACTGATAACGATTTTTTTAACAAACGACCAAATGCTGGAAAAAAAAGCATCGGTGAGTCTGAACGTCGGTACACGCCGAAGCAGTCATTCTGTGGGATTTCATGAATCTACCTTGCTGGTTTGAGCCCTCCTGTGCCCTTCTTTCGGGCCGCGCTTTAAGTATGTATTGGCTATACAGTCAATCCGAAAAGTTTATGTACCTTAGAAAAACGCATTTCCTATAATTAAAAAGAAATCAGACGTCGAAAAAATAATGCTGATAATAAATAGCTACGTGCTAAAAAGTATAGAAGGAAATATCCAATTAAGTATTGACGCTGAGGAAAATTTTTTTTTCAAAATTGCGAAAAATGCTTCAGATAAAAGTTGTTTTCCTTGTAACTTCGATATTTAACGAGTTACGTATGATTATTTGGCATTTTATTGATGTTGACAAAATCCGACCATCCCAGCGTCGAAACGGCGAACTTTTGGCAAAAAATTTCGTTTTTCCTTAATTACTCCTAAACCGTTGAATCTACGGGACCTTTCTTGTAGAGAACGACGAGATCTACAATTCCTATGTAACAATTTTTCGCTAACGTCAATAGTTAACGAGTAATGGACGAAAAACGAAAAAACAGTTTTTTGCAAATTACTCCTTAACTATTGACGCTAGCGAAAAAAATTTACATGGAAATTGTAGATCTCGTCGTCCTCTACAAGAACGGTCATATGCAATTTTTCCGTATGTCCAGCGGTTTGGGAATTATTGGCCAAAAACGAAAATTTGGAAGGAATTGAAGGGGTACCCCTTGGAAAAATCTCGGAAAAATCGAAAATTTTTTTTGTTGTTTATTATTAGCAATGTTCTTCCGACGTCTGATTTCTTTTTAAAAAATTCGTTTCTAAAGTGCATAAACTTTTGGGATTGACTGTATAGCCAATACATCCTTAACATAGGCGCTGCCACTCTTTAGTAATCTCGGTGTTATTATTTTTCCACGAAGCAACCGACACTTATCACCTATTCCCCTTTCGACCTCTGCGGATGGCAAATTCAGTATTAATAAAGTGAGAGACTGTGCGTTCTGTTTGGACCAGGTGTATCGAGATCGACGGAGAGCAGCCCAGGAGAAAAGGAGGAGTTGGAGGAATCGTCGACGGTTTCTGGTAGCTCGCCTGCAACAGGGAGCATCACGGAGCGGCCACCAGGGACGTTGTTGTGCGGTAGTAGCGGCGGCGCAAGCCCGGTAGTGATCGGTAGCGTCTCCTCTTCGAACCGGTCGTCGGTCTCGAGCCTCCCGCAACTTTTTTGGCTGTGCGTCCTGAACAGCGTCCTCGGGGACATCCTGACGATTCTCGTGTTCTGGATACCAAGGATGTTCACCGGCCGGTCAGCGTCGGTGACTGGTAGCGTCGGCGGAGGAACGACGACGATGGACATCGTCGTTTGGCTGCGTAGCTGCTTAGCGAGTCGTTACCGCAGCGCGGGTTACGGGGCTAGATGGTTGCTGAAAAAGTGGGTGGTGGTCGAACGTCGGTTCCGAAGTTGGTGGTGGTGTTGCTGGTACTGGTGGTGGTGGAGGTGGCGAAGAACGCGATCCAAAAAATACCGATCTCGGCGACGGTCGCGCGGTAGTAAAAGTCGTCGACGTTTCGCTGCTACGACGAGGCGAGCTACTTCCACGATACTCGTCGATCCTACCTCCTCGACCGCCGCCACAGTTTCTATCTGCGAGTCGTTCCACGATCGTTTTTCGTCCACGCGACGCGATAATTATTATTGTTTCCTCGTCGATTCGTTCGCGGCCAAGTGCCCTTGGCGACGATGGAGCTGGTGGTGGTGGTGGCTGTATCGATGGCGGCGATCGAGGAAATCGCGTTATACGAACACCGGGCGAGAGACATGGACTCGAAGAAGAACGGGAAGAAGAAGAAGTCGGAGAGAGAGCAGTGCGCCTTCAAGGATCTTCGAAGAGGACGTTCGGTCTTCTCCGGCTAGGCGACGTTATTTTAAACTGTCCTCGAGGAAGGACCCGCCATAGAGCGTTTTAAAACACGCGATACGTGTGAAACACAGGTTTTTTCTATCTATAGCCAGAATTCAATAGCAAGGGACTTTGGTCGTGCCCTTCACGATTCTGGATCTTAAATGCGAAGCTCGTAGAGCAGAGCGAACGAAAGCGCGTAGAAAGGAGTCGACGCGCGACGACGAACGGATGAAAACGAAACTACGGAAAATGGTCAGGTGTGCACGGTTCTCTGAGGAGAATTGTAACGAGAGGATCGGATGGGAAACAGGCGAGATTTGAACATCGAACGGAGCGGAAGAAGAGACGGGAGAGCAAGGAAACGGAATTGAGGAACGCACGTTGGCGTTTCGATTTGAGAACAGAGACAGCGGACGCGAAACGAAACGAGGAGGTCGCAACGTCTCTGGCTTAATAATAATAATAACAATAATACAATAATAATTAATTAATTAAAATAAAAATAACGACGATGGCGATGACACGATGATGCGATGACGATACGTTCTTTTTTTTCTTGCCAAGAGTAACGGGGGTTGGTAAAACGACGAGTAACGAGTAAAAGATAGTCGAATAATACCGACGGGGCTACGTAATAAATTAAATACTAACGATTACATAATGAAATAATCATTAAAATAAATACAAAAAAATTGATGAAATAACTTTAACGTTAGGATGATTACGATAACGATTAGTTATTGTTACACGTCCGGCGCGTTACAGCCGCGTGGACATACACGCACGTATACACACACATACACATACACATACACATACACACACACACACGGAACACGTACACACACATACCACACGCGAACGGACTACTCGGAAGACGATTAAAAGTGCGTGCGAGCGAAGAGATCCAGCTGCGAGTGAGAGAAACAGAGGACGTGAAACGAAATAATTAGGAAGTAAAGTACGCGAGTGACCCGGTCTCGGGTAGATAAATGGTAAACACAAAAAATGCAAGTACACGTTCTCGTATAAACCATTAATGAATAACGAGACATTAAAAAATAACAAAAAAAGATGTAGGTAGATAGTAGGTGATCTCGGTCATGACAGCGAGACGAGGCATACGAGATTCGACGACGTTCGGACGGCGCTTGACCGGCAGATCGATGGTAACGGGGGGGGGGGAAGAAAAACGGATTAATAAAAATATACAAGCAAGATAACGGGATAAATAAACTTATTGGAGTATAAATATGTGTTCGTTTAGACATTACAATAAATAATCATTATATAAACATAGACGTGTAACGATATAAAATAAAAGAAGAGGGACGAGAAGAAGGCGAGAGCAAGCGTGTCTGAATGCGCGTATGCTTGAGGGAGCGAACGAGAGAGAGAGAAAGAGCGTGGTGGACTGTATATTATTAATAATTGATGAAGAAATCGAAGGAGAAACGTTTCGTAGAAGAAAAAAAAGAAAAAACACAGGTAGAAAACTGATAATTTTTTTTATAGACGAATATATCGAAGAGATAAAACTAGCGGCGAGAGGAGGAGAAAAGATTTGTTTCTCACAAGTTTTTTCCGCATAGTGTGCATGCGTGGCTTCGGAACAATCTCCTACTCCTATAATTCAAGCTTCAAGCGAATATTAAAACGATATTAGAAGAACAGCCAAGTCTCGTGTTTTCATTGCCCTCGAATTCTTCGACGTCGGAGATACCGTTTTCCCTTTTGTTCTACGTTCTTGCTTTCGTTCCCATCCACTTTTCGATGCCGTGACTCGCTTGTTTCCGTGGAGGCCACGAGGAACCACTATACGGAGAAATCAGCGTAGAAGTCTAGAAATGGGGGAATCGTCGTCATCGTTGTCGTAACGCCTACCACCAGACCTCTAAAAAAAAAAAGAAGACGAGAACATTTTGATTAGAAAACAGTTTTAAAACGGTTCCCGTGCACGTTGCGTTGAAACCTCGGTACTGCTCCGGCTTGCCATCACACTCGTTTGGCACTAATCTCGAACTTATAGATTATAGTCGCGAGCCACGTTATTCATCGAACACATTTTCATTTGCCCGCGCTCCAACTTTCGTTTTACAACTGCTTTATAATCGAACTATATATTTAAGCCTATTCGCGCGATGCAATTCGCACGGGATGTACTCGCGTGTACACGAGACGGGCGAGTGCGCGCGCGAAGAACGACAGAAGCCGGCGTGTGCATTCATTGCGTTGTTAAACATTGTCCAATACATAATTGTTACTAACTTACATTTATAATACGAACGAGAGATGATGATAATGATGATGATGATGATGATGATGATGATGATGATGATGATGATAGATAGTGGAAAAAGAGAAAGAAAGCCTGTGTATGCCTGTACATAAGAGTGGGGGGATGGTGAGGGAGAGTGTGGAGGGTCGCGGAGGGACGATCGCGGATCGAAATGTTTGCCGGTGGTGCGAGCGAGGTAAGCGATTACGATATATTATAAATATTATACATATAAATAGATAATTGTAAAAGAATTACCGCGGTGAGAGGTGTTAGGGCGCGGCGGGGGGGCGTGCGCAGGTGATGTACGATTGCGCAATTACTGTGTGTAAATACATACATATACTACTCGATTTACGTGCATACGTATGTGAAGCTCGCGTGTAACGCATAACGTGTTCATGCGTGAAAGCGCGTGTGTCTCTGTCGTCTGGCTGTACGTGTGTAAACGCGTATGTGAACGTCCATGTATACGCACACATGTAAGCATGCATACACTTTTCGTGGGTCGTGTATGTATGCGAGAGAGAGAGAGAGAGAGAGAGAGAGAGAGAGAGAGAGAGAGAAAGGAGGAAAAGAAAGAGACGGGGTGGGTGGTGGACCCACGTGTGCGTCGAGTCTAGGAGAATAACGAGTGAGAATTTTAGTAGATAGCGATTGCTTTCCGATGCAATTTTTCTGGCCGAGCCGAGAAGCGCGAGCGTATTTTAGTACATAGAAAACGGAGGGGATGAACTGAACGAACGGGCAATTATTGTGTGCGACACGCGGATTAGAATCGTTGGGCAGAGCGAAGAATTAAACGCGGCCAAAGACGAGTAAGCGAATTTAGTTTAGGACGTAGGAAATCTATTGTGTAGTAGCAGAGGATATACGAAGAAACACTTGTGGCTAACGATCGAACATCGACGAACACGGCTCCAGACACGACAAACCAATCGATCGACTCGGCGGTGAGAAACGATGAAACGCACAATACGCAAATGCGATTCTTATTTCCTGTACACGACATCCGTAAAAAAAAAGAAACGGTAACCGGAGCAATAAGTAACTCGAGAAGTGTTGAAGCGGCGATGCATGTGTCTGGGTCGAAGCGGGAGGCGAGATTAACCCGTTCACAGTTTATCTAATATCTAATCCATCTTGTCGAGTGCCGTTCTTTCGAGCAGAGATACTTTACGGCGAAGGATCGTCATTGACGTACGCACGCGTTTCATTGAACTGTGAATGGGTTAAGGGAGGCAACGGGAATCGAGAACGGAGGAAAGGGAATTCGAGAACCGATGGCCCCGCGCAAAAGTGACTTGTTCTCTTCTTGAGGACGCGGCACGGAACGAGGTAAAACTCATTGTGCGCGACTCATCGAGCACGATTTCTCTCTACGCAGTGCCACGCACTCATATAACGCGGTACACATATAATGCACGTACGTGTGAACGAGCCGTGACTGTAACCGTTAATTGCCGCCAGAAACAAAACGGGCTTTTCATTGTTCTGTGGGTACTATTTCTAAAACGAACCAACAACATGTAGCTCGAATAAACGTTTCTTGGAAAAGTTTCGTAAACGACGATCAACGAGCAACCGGCGCTTTTGTTCTACCATCGATTCGGTGGGATCCGTCGAGTTTTCTCTCCGCGCTTAACTCCCCGTTATACGTCGTTCTCCAACCCTTTCTTTCAGCTAGTCAGTCCTCTTCGAACAGGAATAATCGATGACCCACCTTTATGTTTCGTTCAGAATTCTTAATCGCGAATCGATAACGCGAAGTCACGCCCATTCGTAATACGTATTTTGCCGCCTTTAACGCAGCCGACACTTTCTTTTTACGAGGGACGCTCTCTACGGTCTCGTTGCCAGCGTTCGTAGCCACGTGACTACGATTACTCGATTCCCGTGACCGACGGCGGTTCCCCAACTACGCCGAGCTCCGTCGGATTCCTCGTCTGCTAAACGGAAATTCATTCGCCGCAGTCGAAACGTCGCGCGTCCTTTCAAACATTCGTTCTTGGTTATTTTTTTCGCCTACAAAGGGAAAGGATATAGTGGGAATGGGTTAAAGCGCAATAATATCGTTACGGAGTTAAAAGGTCGGTACTTGGGAGGTAGCCTGGCTCCTTTGATCTCTCACTTTTCACGATTGTTGCTGAAAATTAATTTTCGTCTCTCTTTCCGTCTCCCTCGTTTCGCCGCGAGCATTCGTCGGCGAAATCAACGGGCTCGTTGGGACGGCGTTCCTCGTAAAAAGAAGGGGATCGGTGAATCCCAGAGGGATGCGCGCGAACCCCATGATTAATTCATTCGGGACTCCGCTCTCGCTATTTTCCCTTCCACCGCGATCAGACGTTCCGAGTGCTCGGCACAGGTTTCAGTTCCATTGCTTGCCACCTTCTCATTCGGAGAACCGCCTCACGCAATAAAACAAAAATCAAGTACAAAACGATCGACGTAGGTGCATATAGGAACCCGTGAATCGTTCGTTTCATTTCAGTCTAGTAGATATTAATAAGGGGGTGTTCCGATCGTTCACTTCTCTCCCTCGCTCCCGGCTGGCTGATCAAGGGAACTCGGCCTGAACCGGCGAAGGAATTTTCAGGAAGAGGGGGGGGGGTGAGAGATGTTCCGATTCGTGAAAGAGAGAGAAGTATCATAGAGAAAACGGCGAATCGAGGCAAACAGGAAGTTCGAAAAATCCGAGTTTAGCCGGTGCGTTCGAGTTTCGGCGAAGCCAGCCACGAACACAGGGACGGAGGGAGAAAAGAGAGAGAGCGAGAGAGCGAATGCTGGCACAGAAAAAGCAGCGTGGAGAAGGACAGAGAGACATTGGGGGTGTGTTTGTGTCTGTGTCTGTACTTATGTATATATTCGTGTTTGTCAAGTGTACGTGCATACTGTGTGTGTGTGCGTGTCGGAGAGAAAACGTACGTGTGTGTTTGTGTGTGTGTGTGTGTGCGCGCGTGCGAGGGAGCGAGCGGGCGAGAGAGAAAGAGAGAAGCATGAGGACCAGACTACGTATTGATCTCACAAGTCTCCCAACTCCCAACGTAGAACGTTCGCATAAAACAGGCCAACATCGTCGACGTCTATGCCGACCTGGACATCACCCTGGCCGAGCCACGACGTCCGTTTTCGCTTTTCCCACCACGTATCTCGCAATCATTTTCATATCTGATGTAATCTGTTGAAAAAAGAAAGAAAAAAGAGAATCCACAACGTCCTGCACTTTAGATAATGTAGCAGATTGTAGCGTACTCGACGACGAGCTTTCTTTCATCTCATTTCCGCTTCTGTTTCGGTCATACTGGTCACAATGGGTCGAGTCGTCGGGTCCCGAGAACCGGGACGTTCTCCGCTCGTTCATTTCCCATCCGATCTCCACGTGATCGAAACTCTTTTCGTCGCGAATCTGAAGATCAGGTTCCACACCCCTCTATCTCTCGGCTCGTTCGCTCCGTTTCCTCAGCCCTTAGGTGAAAATAGATTCGAAGCAGAGAATCGTTTTCTGTGTGACCTTTACATAGAGTTTCTTTAAAAGAAGTAGACGGTCGAAACTCTACCGAGCAAACGGAGTTACCTCACCTGCGACAGAAATCATTGCATTAAAATGAGCATACATAGGTACGACTGCATGGGTGAACGAATGAGAGAATGCGAGAGGGGGAGAGAGCGACGAAGAAAAATAGAGATAGAATGAGTGAGAGTGAGTGGATGAGTTAAAAGAGCCACTGCCTTAGCGAGAGTATGATTTTCGAGTATCAAGGCCTTAGAAAGTATAAAACCAGAAACATAATTAGAGTTAAGTAAGATCTGTTGTTGTTAACCAAAAAAAAAAGAAAAAAAATGAAACAAGAAAACGATAGAGGACAGAGAGAAACTCAAAGGAAGGATGTTGACGTATTATAAAACGAATTAGCAATTGTATTTCACCCGTCCGCTCGAAGCCCGCGGCATGGCTATTTATTTCTTACGGTGTATACTGTACGCTTCGAGCGGACGAGTCGAGGACGTAAGGTACATAATATATACTAACCCTTCGTGCCCACAATTAAATAGGCGTGTTAAACGCATAGTTTTACGTAGGATTATTAACCGTTGCTTGTGCATACGAACAAAAAGAATATGACACGAGAGAAATACGAAACTGAGAAGACCGGTCTACGAGTGGGACCGTCAGGGAAAATAGAGGAAGGTGAAACGCAGAGGAAACGAGAGGAGAAAAAGAAACGAGGTGGGGACATGGGAACGGTAGGGAGAAGCGGTGAAGACAAAGCGCGTCGCTTTTGCCGCACGTGTACCGGTACTCGCGAAATTCGCTATCTTTCTCCTTGACTTTGTTTTCTGCTCTTGCCTTATCGAGGACGAAACGAAACGAAACGCAGACATAGGAATAAGGGGGTACAGGGGGAAGGAGGAAGAGAAAAGAAGGAGCGTGAGTTATGCGTGGGGCGTCGGCCACGCGCCGATGCCAGGAGGAGGAGGAGGAGGAGGTTGTCGCTAAACGGGTGAAGAGAATAAGAATTTTTGGTAGCGCGCCGCATTCGATACAACATTTGAGTCCGATGTTAGCGTAGCATACGTATTGTAAGCTGTCGACATTTATACTATGAACTATGAGTAAATTGTAGCGATCATTGTGAACATAGTTAATAGTATAGATTAGTTAACCGCACTAATTGTACCGAGATGGTTAATTCCGAACAAAATAATTATCGAAGCTAATTCAATAACGCATAGATATGTTCCGCGCGAATCAAATCGACTTAAACGAGTGATAATGCGAAGGAGAATGTGAGCGTAGCGTAGTAGTGGGAAAAAGAGTGAAAGCGAGAGAGAAAGAGAGAGAGAGAGGGAGAAAAGACTGTGTGCGAGTGCAGGAAAGGAAGAAGAGGAACGATGTGTGGTACAAAAATTTCGATGATGGACAAGGGATTAAAGGAGATAAAGTAAAAGGGGAAAGAACGGGTGCACGCGCGTATGTGTTTCTTCAAAATGCGTCGTGATAACGTGAACAGGTCATCTTCGTGCCTATTCGCCTTCTGTTTGTTTCTGCATTCTTCACTAAGGCGTTACATTGCACGTTTACGAAATTCGTTGAGCGACACGCGATCGACGGAGGAAAGCAAAACCTTTTTCTCTGGTCGCGATCAGTAATCGATTCTCTTGGAGATATCTTCACCGGTGCGCAACTGGTCGCCGAGGACCCGGTCGTCCTGAGCCTTTAATTCTCCAAGTTAGAGATACACCTCGTCGCTTATCAATTAATTAGACTATCGATCCAATCTAGGGGTACTTTCTCTAAGCACGTAACTCGACACGCGTGTACTACACGTGCCCGCGTTACACAGCATCGCTGGAACAAGTTAGAAGTACCTACCTACTTACGACGCGTACTCCAAACGACAAATTCGATAAACGTTCTTCTCGTTCTGATTCGCTTTCTGTAAAGATTCCTGAAAAGTTGCCAATGTTCTTTTCGCACGGCGTCCACGCGTATTGACCGAGAGGGATCGTTCACTCGTCGTATCTATAAGCGTTTCCTCTGACCTCCGATTTATCGACTCTCTCTCTCTCTCTCTTTTTCTCTCTTTCTCTCTTTCTCTCTCCTAAAAACTGTTCTCTCGACCTAGAAAGACTGTTCTCGACGAAGCTTCGATATTCGTTCGGATTCTTCAACGGCCGCTCTATCAAGTAACGAAATCGCGCGACTCTTCTATTCGTTTAATAAACCAGAGCTTTTTACCGGGACGGAACGTAGTCGTAGCCAGGGCGTATACATTTTTATTTGTCGACACATATCGTGTCCTTGACTTTCCCAATCTCGTCGTGCAGAAGTACGCGATGCACGGCTCGTTTGTACGAGATCTACGGGGGGAGGGAACGCGGGAGAGCGCGCGTGTATGCACGTACGCAGCGATGATATCGGTCGTGTCTGCGGCGGCGGCTGAAAGATGACGAGGAGGTGGAGGAGATGGATAATTGCGACGGGGGGGACGGAATCGAAGACGGAGGTTTGTCAGAGAGTATCGAATTGGATAGGATTCACCGGAAAATTAAAGCTGCCGTTCTAGTCCGCGGAGATCCACGAGCAACCAACTTTCGACCTCCATATCCGATATCATTTTCATCTAATAATAATAATCCCCGTCTCTCTTCCCCCGATGTTGCGTTGTGTCGCGAATTCGAACCGTTGGATATGTATGTACATATATATATATATGTATATATCTCTTCTTTTCTTTCCTCCCTCGATCCCATCAATTCTCTTCTTACTTATTCTTTCGTACACACAGCCCCGCTGCTCGCTGGTCGGTTTGATCGAACTTTCAGACTCTCTCGACCCTCGAATACGTGGCTAGACTTCGAATTAAATAACGAATACCGACTTAACGATAATGGTAATAATAATAATATTAATAGTATTATTAATAAATACTGATAAATAATAATAATAATAATAATAATAACAATAATGAATAATAATAATAATAATAATAATAATAATAGGGAACAGAATAAGATAGATTGCTGCTTCGTAGATCGCGATGAGAGCTAACGATTAAAAGAAATGGTCGCGAGGAATAGGAGTTTAGGCGACGAGATGCTACGCATTTTGGAGACTCATCGGAAGATATGATACTACCACCGATTATTATTCGCGGTCATTGCGTTGCACGTAAGGAGACACATAAGCGTTTATAAGATCCGCGAGAAGCGAAATGAATACGGACATAGATGAATTGAGTAAGTCTCTAATCCGAGAGCAACGGCGGGGGAAGTGAGGAGGGAAGGAAGGAAGGAAGACGTGAAGGAAGAAGAAAGGAGAGCAAGAGGCAATTGTGGATGAGTCAGGGTGAATGATGAAACGTATGCGTGTGCGTGTGCGTATGCGTATGTATGGGCGCACAAGAGCAGCGGATAAAAAGAGGGAAGGATAGTTTGAAAAAAAAATGAAACATTTAGAGTTCCGTCTTTGAATGTTGGAGAATGTTCATTTGTAATTGTTTAAATCTACCGAGAAATGTACTGTAAGACTATAAGTACTATAGGCACTAAAAATATATCATTTGTTGACATGAAAAAATAAAAAAGTGATCCCCATGATGTAAATCTTTCCTAGTGCGTGGGCGCGCGCGCGGATGTTTAACGCGATGCGAGAGAGGCATACATACATACATACATACATACATACATACATACATACATACATACATACATACGATTAATAAATGAGATGTAAGCTACGAGCGGAAACACGTACAAGTTCGTTGTGCGAGACGATAAGCATTATTTTACGTAAGGAACGCGGTTCTCTACTTTCTACGCCCCACGCGAATCGATGCGCTTCAGTCGAGAAAACACGTCAATTAGGTGACCCCCCGGACCTCGTTCCATGATTCGAATCAAGCTGATGAGACCTACCTCCCTTCGATTCATGTTCTCGCCGAGGAACGCGACGATTAGGGGATTAAATGTTCGAAATGAGTAAAATGTTGGTGTTCAGAGTACTTACCCACATTCTTTATCTGCCACAACGAAATCCCATTTGATTTTTCTCCGTCCGAATAGCCAGAAAGAAACGCTTCTATAAAAAGGGGTAAGTTGGATATCTGATTCGGGACAGAAACGCTGGATGCATCGATTTACATGAAAAATTTATTTACGACAAATGTGTGTTTAACGATGAGAATTAAAAAATTCGCGACATCATTGCTTCCTCGCTTTGGAACGGACGTATATGATCGATGCACACGCAACGCGTAGATGCGGCGACCTCGAGTCACGGACGATCGGAACTGTTCGAAACGGATTGAGTACCCGCGGCAATTGACGCGTTCGCGATGATCCAATTTCGACGTCGAACTTTTATAGAAAGCAAATAAATAAAACGAGTATGAGTCGAATAAAGGAGATAGAGAAGATATGAAGTTGAGATTTCGTTCCTGCTCGGATCGTCCGTTTGCCGTAGATGAAGCTGTTTCAGTGTTGACGACATTGACCTGTTTTAACGAGCGCTTCCATGTTCGGTTGATTCTCCGGGGACGGAGGAGACTGTTTCGTCTTCTTCTTCTCCTCCTTGTTCTCTGTCGCCGACGGTGGCGGCAACGCGTTCAGTAAACCTTCCGGAGAACAAGAACAGTTACACGGTGCGTCACGGAATCGTTTAAGGAAATTGGAAGCAGAAGTGAAGAGAACCTTTTCAGCCGTGCGCGCGATAAGGAAAACTGAAATAGGCGTAACATCACTCACCGACGGTTTCTCCTTTAAGGGAGGTCCCTGTAACGATAAAACAGCGTTCTATTCCGTTCATAACTCGTGTCTGTGTCTATCGAAAGCGGGGGACTAACCGTTTCCGCGGTACTTGTTCAACTGCTCATAAACTTGTTTCATTCTTTCGATGTTGATCCTGGAACTCTTGCTGTGATTCACCATCGGTAACGAGTAGTCCTTGCCGACTATGCACTTCGCCGTGCGCTGCACGCTCAGCGGTGCGTTCCACGGCTCGTGAATGTATCTCGTAGGGAAGTTTTTTAAAACCGGCAGATACCGTCTGAAATGACAGTCTAACAGTGAAACGACATCGGACGATCTTTTGTTCTCGTACGAATTTTCATTTACCTAATGTAATCTCCGTTCGGGTCAGCTTTTCTGCCGAACCTCACCGGACAGTAGCAATGAAAGAACTGCTGGAAGAAAGAGCTGCACGACAGCCACATCCACATTCCTGCGTTCACCGACCAGTCGGCGTCCAACAGCAGTTCATCGAACACCTTACGAGGGGAGAACAGATAGAACAGAGATCCCCGATACAATTCGTGTCTCGGTTAGCGAGATTTTTACCTTCATTCCCTCCTCCCAGGAGATCCAAAGGTCGCCCCTGGTCAGAAAGCAGGCAACAGCGTGTCTAGCTAGATGATGTATCCAACCTTCTTCTCTGAGCTGAGTCATGATCGCGTCAATCCAGGGAAATCCTGTCTGACCCTGTTCGACAAACATCTTTCGTCTTTTCGAAAGCTCAAAGACGATCAATCGGCTCGGCCGCATCCGATCGCGGTGCGGCGTTCGTTTACGAACCGCGTAAATATTTTTAATTCACTCACGTTCGCCCACTTAGCAAGTGCTTCGACGTTCTTGTCCCATGGAATTTGCACGCAAATCGGATTGCCTTGCATTCTATCGAAATTCGGATTCTTGGTCGCGGCGCAGTAGAAGAACTCGCGCCATAAAAGCTGTCCGTGCAACGAGAGCGGAGGTACGGCTTTTTTAATCTGCAAGTCATAAACGTGACATTTTTATCGGTTTAATAATGCGTATTCAGCCTCTGATATTCCTAACGGTTCTACCATATGCGTTACACGGAGAATTTCTTATTTCTGTAGATTCGATTTTCTCATAAATACGTGAAATCTGGGGTCCAGTGAATCGTTTAAGTGGCTTCGTACCTTCTTGTAAAGATCGGTCAATTGATAATAAAACAGTCGAGTGCTCAGGCATCCGAATCGCAAGTAAGGCGAGAGGCCGGTCTGACTGGGCAGCAACGATTGCGGGGTCATTTTCGGTCTCCCGAAACTGGCTACCCAAGCCTTCCTCTCGAGATGCCGTTCCAACCGTGCCAGTGCTTCGCTCTCGCCTCCGACCCACACGGGTGGCAGAAGTCCCTCGGTGTCGAAGCCTAATAATTTGCTCGAAGTAAGGCCTCTCGACCAAGATCGTTCGATTGACCGTGGCGAACTTACCTAGTTCTTCGAGCGTCGGGACGCCATAATGATCGTCGTGATCCTCTTTCAAAGGGGTGTACGCCGAGCCTACGCAGGCAGACGTGACCGTCGGTACCGGCGGTTCCGGAGTGTCCATGCTGGCGACGATGTTTTGAAACTGATGATACGTCAACGGCGGCTTTCCTCCGTTTCTCTCGATAATTCTGGAAAGTGAATTGTCGGCGAGTCGTAGCGCGTTAAATCGGAAACTGTCTCGACTCACTCGTCCAGCTTGTAGAGAGTATGCGACACCCTTTGGACCACCGAGATACCGAGTTCTTTGCACAGTGCCGAGATGTTGAGGTCCCGGACATGACCGAACGGTTCGGGATCCTCTTCGAAGGTGAGGTTCGTAGTGCCCCATTCTTTGAACAGTTTCGGCAGCGCGTCCGCCGGCTGGCCGCGTATCACGAACAGTCTAGAGTTTAGTTTCCTCAGCGAACAGTCGAGGTCCTCCAAGCACTGCAACAGAAACCTGTCGACAAAGTAAACGCGAAACAATTTTATCCCTGTTATCCTTCTGGTCACATCTTGCACGGTTGATAAGCCATGACTCGCGTACTCTCACCTCCACTTGTTGATGCCGACGTTGGTGCTACCGGCGAACCACGGATCGAGGACGAATACACAGCGGAAGGTGGACGCGCCGGCGAGGCCCTCTCTCAGCGAGGGATTGTCATGAAGCCTGAGACCTTTGCGAAACCAATGAACCGCGTGCTTGCCCCCGTCGCCGCGCACCGCCACTTCCGGATTCACTTCGCTGTTCTGTCCGCCTTTCATCTTCTTCTCGCTTGTCCCTTCTCAGACACTTTCCCTTGCAACGCTCGAACCGGGTGAACGTCACATTTGTAAATCCTTCTACGTCGTACCACGTACACAACGTACACACACGCGCGCATCTATGTTCCCTTTTTCAGTTTTCCCGCCCACTGTCTGTCCTTGAATGCCTCTCCCGAGGGAAACACGGTTCCGAAGGATGAACCCGTTCGGAACGCGACCTTGATCGAACAGTATCCTCAGCCTCCGGACACCGTCATCCTGATGAATCAATTCTGCCGAGTGAAGAGCTGTTTTTTAGGTCATCAAGGTAGGGTGCGAGCTCGGTCGATCGATCTATCGTTCCCTCGATTGAAACTTTTCGCTGATGAGGAAAAAAAAAAAAGCTCCGGTCTCTCGAGGATCGTTCGTCGTCGATTCATATCGCGCGCGTATCCCGTTTGGCAACGATGCCTAATTCAGCTTCCTTTTACCCTCACCTCTCCTGTTCTTATCGTTACAATCGGACCACGTTCGCAGCGTTCTTTTCGATGACCACCGATAGATATCGGATCATCAATTAAAAGTGTGTGTGGGATTAAAAAGGGGAAGAAGGATTCGATGCACGGTATCAAACTTCTGAAAGAGATTCAGTCACGTATTCTGTTACACGCAATAGAAAGCGTTATTTTCATTTTAGACAATTTTTCATAATCTCGAGTTTCATTGCTTTTTCCTAAACAAATGAAACGTATCTCTTTCTGTTGCACCGGAAAACGAGTGATAGAAACGACAAGCACCGATGTCTGACGCATACTCGACGCTTCTACTGGCTGTCCAGGGGCGCGTAACCGGCCACACGCTACATTTTAAACTGTGAAAAATTGTTCCGAGTTATTGTAAAAAATGTGTTAATACACTAGTGCATCTGAAACACATTTGTATATCTGCAAACAGTCTGTCTTGTGAAATTTCACCAACTTTACGCTAACATTAGCCTAAATTGTGCTTGACAGACTGTAAAAAATTGTTCTTAGTTGCACGATTTAATTGCTAACTAACATAAGTATGCTTTATTCTTGTACTGGTGAAAACCGTCTGCCAATAAGTTTTTCGTGGATTGCGCAATCTTGCCTTGTGTTCAAATAAATGGCAGACTGTAAAAAGTTGTTTCAAGAAACTACTTTTTTTTTGCTAACTAAAGTTGATGGTTAAGTATGCGTTAACACGCAACGAAGATTTTTAAGTACATCTATCTACAGCCTGTGGCTGTAAATGTTTCCCCTGTCAATGGCAGACTGTAAAAAATTGTTCCTTTCTTTGTGTTGCGAGCGTCCGGTCTATAAACGTTCCTTTGACAGAATACAGTCAGAATTTTTTTAGGTTTCTCGCACGGGATTAAATAAAAAAAAAAATGATTTTTCCAATTTTCCCAAGCACTAACCCCCCCCGGTTGAGGAAAAATTGGAGTGAATGATCCTTTTTTGATAAACTATCGAATCACGCAAACAGCGCTCAAGGGTACTTTTGACCCTCTTATCCGGCTACCGGAGCAGACGTATACCGTGGTACCGCTGTACTCCTTTTGCGTTTCCTCATTCTGGTTTCGACCGATTTCAAGGATCGATCGATCGTTTCCATATCCTTCGCTTGAATAACTTTTTCATTCGAAACTCCAGCAGCAATTTCTTAAAACTTTTTACACGTTGAACCAAGCGTTCTTGCATCCTACAGAAAAGTAGTTCGGTCCGATATTAAAAAGGCTATTCAATCTTGATGTACGTTATCTCTAAATCTCGATTGTATCTTCAAACGAACGTTCAAAGTAATTGTATAGTATTGGCGATAAGAGTGATACCGTGTTACGCGTCGAGATTATTATTAGAATTAAGCTCGTATTACAAACGTTGAATTTAGCACGCATATAGAAATATTCTTAACTCGCAAGGAAACGCGATACCTCTCCCTCTCTCTTTCTCTCTCTCTCTCCATCTTGTGAGTTACGTAATTTCGATAACGCGTCGTAATTCGAATAGCAAATACAACTGCATCGTATTAGAAGATGTAAACCACGGACGCGGGGGTAAGTAATCGTGAAACAAAAAGTGGATACATACTTTATTATTGTTAGAAAGTCGCGCGGAGACAACACGACGGTGACCTACTGACATAATCGGTTTTCTTCCCGTATAGATCGTGACGTAACTATATTACGAGCCCGAGAGTTGCTCGATCGCTGCCGATAAAACAGAACGTGTCGCGGTCTCGATTCCGTACGAACGACACGTACGATACGATGTATTTCGCTTTACCGCGCTGGTTCAGCGTTTATTCGTCCGAGCCGTGAAATGAACGTGTTCTGTCCTCGTGGTGTTAAAGACAGGAGCGAAGAAGATGAGTAAATAAGGCTGCGACAGCTGCGAGTGTAGCAGGCAGAAACTACGCGGCGGTTCACGGATCCCATAAATCTAATCTAATAGTGAGTATCAGGAATCGATTCACTTACGGCTTGCGCAATCTTCCCTTCATTTGATGTACTTACATGGATCATAGGATGACGTGAACATTTTCAAAAATCCGCGTAACTGTCGCTGGTTAACGATGAGTCGTCACGGTTCTCGAAGGAGAGATCTTCACGATCGCGTGCATCCGTTTGGATGATCGAAGTACGATCGCATAGGAAATCGGAGAGATCGCATGGTAACGTGGTGCGCGTATCGGTTTTCGTCACGGTCGGCGGAGGCACTCGTTTTAAATTTTCTTAAAGACAACGCGGGGCAAGGAGACGCGACAACGACGACGACGAGGCTCGCGACAGAGGAGCATGGAACGCGCACAGAGAACAGTTGTTCGCATATGCCAACAAATTGTCCAGCGAACATAGAGAAGGAGTGATGGGCAGTAAGAGCAAGGGGAACACGGAGCCACGCCGATTGCAACGTGACCGCGTCCCCGCGTACCTTTTCATTGGCCAACACCGTCACGTGGTCCGCGAGTCACGTTGCAGCCGCCGTGGTTCTTACATGTACGCATATATCCATACATACCTTCAATGCACTTACTCTTTAGTTAAGCACTCATCTATTTACCTGGCCACCGCTTTCCTCTTTCTCCGAGGACCCATCGGTCCTCGCCGCATTCGTTTCTATCCGTTCTCGTACTCCTCCCTCGGCCGAGTTCCGTTCGAATTTGAATCTCTTCCCTCGAGTTCCATGCAGCAACGCGCTTACAATTCAACTTATTATTGCTAATTGAAACTACTTGAATCGAAAGTCCATCGCTGGTCAATTTTCATTTTTCCGTTTCGCAGGACTGATGTAACGATTGAACGAAGGTGCTGTAATTACGCGTTCACTCCTCGATCACGAATTTAACGACGGGGCTTTCACCGCCGAACGTTTTTAGCGAAATCGATAGCGTGAGCGACGATTGACGATGGACGAGTCCCGGATTCGGACGTTCAATTTTAATTTAGACACCGACACTAATTTAATTAAATACCGGAACGAGATGAAAGGAAACACAAGGTTTGCAGAATAATTACATCTATTTATTCGTGTTCGTACATAAAAGGTATCAGGAAGAACGATGGTACCGACCACTGTACCTACTCGATATACAATTATTATACACATGAAACTTTACTTTCGACACGTCTCCTCTACCCACGATTCGTGTAATGCATATAAAAATGATTCTTTACAGTTTCACCCACTCGGATCGTCCCTCCTTCATCTTCTAGTCTCGAACTACGTTCCTCGCCACACTTCGTTTAATAATACTTATTCCCCGACGATATCGTGTACTGTAGTCAATCTATTCGTAGATATTTTCTTTATACATTCGTAAATCTTATAGATTACTTAGTTCCATCCATACTCGATATTGTAATTTCAATCGCGGTTAGTCGTGTATCGCTCAGCGTGCGCGATAATACAATTAATCGTAAGTATCTATAAACCATGTAAAAAAAGTGAAGGACTATCGCTATTGACGGAATAAGAAATAAACCTAAACGTTATCATGTCTGGCGGACGATTCTCATCGTCGCAGCGTTATGCAAATCCGAAGCTGGATCAAGCACTGTATCACTGCTCACAGTCTCTCCTTCGCGATTTTCCACGTATTAACGGTAGTTGGTACGTAATTATAAGCGGACAATCTATAGTCGAGTAGCAATCAACAGACCATGCGTTTACAGTCTCCTGAAGCAAAACATGGCTCATGGGTTCGTTTCAACGATGTCTTATGTGATAACGCTATTTCATTGATAATGCATTAACGTAGAATGAAATACGATGAGTAAATGAGAGAAAATAGATTGTATATTAACGACATGATTCTAATTATGTATAAAGTCAGCTTGTTTAGGGTTTACAAGTCTTGATCGAAAACTGATCAAACGAATTTGATTTGATGAGAACGTTACCATCCTCTGTGAGTTCTGTAGGGCCGTCTGCATGAAAAGTGTATATGCTAGTCGAAGCTAAGAGGAATTGCGTGTTCCAAATGACGTAAAAGATAGAAAGAAACGTTTGGTAGTAGAAACGTGTACGTCATCGGATGATGAAAGAAACGGGAAGCGCTGAAAGCGTAGGACTCTTCTGACTTAGTTAAAATTCGTTTGTATGAAATACAGTAGACGATCGCCGTTGTACAAAGTGTTACGCATAAAAAAATGTTTTTCTAAAACGTATACAGATCTCAGTTGCACGTCAGCTGAAACTTCCGTCTCCCAGGATCGATATCTATGCCCTCCTCGTAAAATAAGTGGGTGTTCAATTACGCATTTAACATATTTTATTAGAAAACGCGATAACAGTATCTACTACAGTATATATATTGTTCTTTAGACATAGTAACTCGTTTTAAAGCTATGATTTTAATCTCAAGAATCCCCACGCTTTTTGTATCAGTCAAATGCGTCTCCCGCTAACTATGTAGTATTATATGCACAATTTGAAGAGCGAAAAGGCAATAAAATTGGTAAGTTACTCTTCGGGACAAGACCGTTTCTAAAAGAGACTCGTTCAAAGACTCGTTTACTTAGTGATCGCGTTCAACAGTGATTCGTTAACATCGAACGTAAATAAAGACGTTCATAAAACATTTGTTTAAGCGCATTGAAAAATCTCTTATTCCTTTTCACGGTCACATTAATTACATCCAGGTACGCATGTCAAGCCACGCAAATAATTCGATTAAGATAGTGCGGTATTGTATAAAATGAAATTCAAACCTTTCTTCATAATTTATAGGAACGTCCATTTGGAAGGTTCGCAGTTTCGCAGATCAGCGTACAGGTAAATGATTCTATTTTACATGCTTCGGAGGTCTACCGCGCCTCTTGGCCTTAGTATGATTGAGAATCGATGATTTGGCAGTATGCGAATTCATTGCTCTTTGTACACTTCTACCGACGTCGATTTTATACGAGCCCAGCTCGACCATTTCGCTCTCGATCGCTCTCCTAGACCGCCTGGTTCGACCAGCTATTCTCTGCATCTCGTCGAACTTGGCTTGCAACCTCCGCGCCAACTCGAAATCCTCTTTCTCCTGTATGACCAACCTCTCCATTCGTTCTTGCTCCTTAATGATCTCCTCGTCAGATAGCGTGTTCCCGGTAGTATTGTTGTTTTCCGATAAACACTCTTGCACGTCGCTGCAAGACTCGGGCGAATTGTAATTGTTGCTCTCCGCACCGTTATACATTACATCCGACCCACTGTTCATGGAACTGTTCGCGTGTCTCGACTTGCGCGTTATTTTCCTTAAACTAGAATTGTTATCCTGACAATTGTATCCTATAGAAGCGTCGTTCTTCTCGGAACTTCTTTTAATCGTTTCTTCCGCTGGACGTACTCGACTTCGCTGTTTCGATTTCGATAAGGCAGTTCTGTTACACTTAGTTCTAGTCCTTCTCTGTATTGTAACAGGAACGTCGGCTGTCGTCTTATATTCGAACTTCGCTTTCCTGAACAATCTCTTCCTCGCGTTTCCTCTTCCCATCGTCTCTGGATTCAAAGGAGACACGCTCGTAAAATCCTTGTCCTTATCCGCGTTCACCTTCCTCTTCTTTATTCTTTCCGCAATATTTTCAATCGTTATGTCGTCCTCTTCTTCCACTCCCGACTCCTCGTCGCAAAGCGAACTCATGTTCATAGACACGGACGAAGTAGAGTTCTTCGTTTCGACGCCGCTCGTACATTTCGCATTCCCGGCAGTCTCGCCCTCTACAGCCCACACGGTTCTCAGCCGTTTAGGTTTACACACCATACCGTTTTTAACGACATGAGCCTTCCAAGATTTTTGTACCTTTCTGCCGTCTCTCTGCTCTTCCGACATTAATTTCTTATTAACTCTAATACCATTGATCGTCTGATTCACATCTTTAGTATAATTCTTATTTGAATCGAACGACACTTCAGGAAGGAAATAATTTTTCTGAATCGAGTTATCTACAGTTTGATATTTCGTCGCCTTGCGCGCAATCTGGAGCTGGCTGCAAGACGTCGACGGTATCTGCTCGATCTCTTCGTTACACTCTTCTTTTTCTTTATAACTTTGTCTGGCCCTGCCTGTAACATTTAAAAAGAGAGTCACGTCTCATTGTTCCTGAACTTCCTCATTATTCGTTGCATCGCATTATAAATACGAAAGTACCTCTGAAAGCACTCCAGGAGCATCCAATAATTCGTTTCAAGTGAGTCTGCGACGGAGGTTTGGGCACAATGTTAGATATCCTCTTCGAAACAGGAACGACCCTAATTAATTTCGGATCTATCTGCTTCCCATCTATAAAGTAACACAAGTCCACGAGATATACAATATGATACAACATAAACGTAGAAATAAGATAGAATGAAAATAAGAATCGTACCAGAAGATATCTTTAACGGCGTCCTCGGCATAGCCTTGATAGGTTTGAAATGATGAATCTCTTGATTGATGCTATCGTGACTTCCCGCGCTCTCGGCACTACCCGTTCTCTCGTCATCGTCGCCCGACGACATACACACTTCTACTCCCAAACTTTTCTTCTTACTATTTACAACGTCATTCGGAACACGCAACTCCTCTTTGCTCTGACTACCGTATATCTTAGACGCGGACATTCTAGGCTCCACGGAGCACGTCGCGACACAAGGTTCTATCACTTTCGTAGTTACCTTCTGTTTCAAACTCCTCGAGATAGCGTTGCAAATAGGCATCGACTTTTGACAACAGAATTTACTTATAGAATTATTGTAAACGTTCGACAAGTTCGTATTGTTCAGATTATAGGCGATCTTGGATATTAACGTGATGTTCGATCTCAGTCCGGCTGTGTCTTGAGACTCTGAAGGCGGTGTTTTTCTATATTTTGAACTGTGAGGTTCTACTTTATACGAATTCACTTCTGTCATAGTAGCGACATTAAATTTCGAAACACGGATAGAACTGTTAGATACATTAAGGGAATTATTATATTTAGACGTTGTCTTATGCTTGTCGACGAGCTGCTTCTTTACTAATGATTTAGCGAGCAATTGATCTTGCGTGAGTTGAGCTAATTGCTGTTGCTTTTCCTCCTCTTGAATCTTATGGATGAGAGCTTTGCTAGCTATCTCTTCAGCTTTCCTTTGACACTGCATTTCCTCCTTTGCCTTTTGAAGTTGTGCCTCATATTCCTGTCTAATTTCTCCGGTCGTACTGAGCACTTTATTGGTACTCGCGAAATCTATGAACAAAATAGAACCTGCCAATACGTCACGTACACAGACACACTTGTGAGAGTGTGTACATCGTTCGAAACAATTACTTATTTCCTAGGTTATGTTACGTTTGTTTATCTTGTCCCGCAGGCAACTTACCAGCATCCAAATCGATATTTCTCTCGTCGCCGTTGTATTTGCTCTCTACTTCTTTGGCGAATTTCGTACGGATCAAATGCCAGAGCTCGCTGTTAACTAACGTTTCAGTCTTCGTCGCTCTACGGAGCCAAGAACCGACTCGTACTCTACAGAGAGGACAACTTAAGCTATTGTGCTCGAAAGTACCTTTTAAACATTTCAAACAGAGATTGTGCGTGCACGGCAATGTTACTGGCTCGATCAGGATGCTACGGCATACCGGGCACATTAGATCTCTTATACTAATGTCCACCGACGATGGTATCAACGAAATATCAAACAATTTTGACGTTCGCTTCAAATATCTCGCCATCTTACTCTATTCTTTAAAGAAACATAACAACCACTACTATAGATGGGAACATCGTTCTTCATACCATTCTCGAGTCAGAGACAAGAACGGGGCACGGCGTTGACAAATTCACTTTATACATGCACAGAGACTCGAGCCACGGACACATACAACATGCATACATGTGTATAATATACACAGTGTATAGGTACATAGGGAATTTTTCTACACGGCTTCATTGAGAATTATATTATAAATAAATGTGCAAAAGCATATGTATAAAGTTGATACCAGGTTCTCGATCTACTCTTGTCTCCAGTGATTTCGCAGTAAATTAGTTACGATATGAAAACCGTTCCTGATATCCCCGGCAGGGAGAGTTTCTCTCTGCCCCCGGTAATTCCCGGACTTCTATTTTCTTACGCAGACGCCATTTCACGATCTGTGATCATCCTCTGCGACGGTTGAATCTACCTGCGCAAATTGACGATCAATGATCATACGCCATTATACGCAAAGTGCTTACGAAAAGTGAAGTGAAGTGAAGTGAAATTGATAGACGTAGAAAGAATTTCATTTGTATTTAACGAATGTCTAATCAAACAGGAAACAGAACTGATATAAATTGAAGAATTTTTTGTTGTGGTTTCAAGTTCGAAGACGTGATATTAAAGATTAATTTCGATTCTCTCTGACTACAAAAAAAAGACCGTTACGTCTATTACGAAAAATGGGGAAAGGTTTGTGAATAATGTATTGTTACGGTAGTGAGGAGAGAGTAATCGTTTGGGAATTAAAAGGATTTTAATAAGTTTGTATTCATTAAATAGGAAAGAAGAAATCAAAGCAAACTAGCGCACAAGCTGACCCACAAAAAGAATCAGGTCCATCTCAGCAGCAAAAAGGATCAGGTGATGCAACACAGCAGAAACAAGGATCAGCTCCACCTCAACAGCAAAAAGAATCAGGTCCATCTCAAAAACAAAAAAAATCAGGTCCATCTCAGCAGCAAAAAGGATCAGGTGATCAGAAACAAGGATCAGCTCCACCTCAACAACAACAACAGACAGGGCCACCTCAACAGCAAGCGCCGGGAGGTCAGCCTCAACAGCAGGCATGGGGAAAGCCACCTCAACAACAAACGCCGGGAGGTCAGCCTCAGCAGCAGGCACCGCGTGGTCAACCTCAGCAGCAGGCATCGCGTGGTCAACCTCAGCAGCAGGCATCGCGTGGTCAACCTCAGCAGCAGGCATCGCGTGGTCAACCTCAGCAGCAGGCATCGCGTGGTCAACCTCAGCAGCAGGCATCGCGTGGTCAACCTCAGCAGCAGGCATCGCGTGGTCAACCTCAGCAGCAGGCATCGCGTGGTCAACCTCAGCAGCAGGCATCGCGTGGTCAACCTCAGCAGCAGGCATCGCGTGGTCAACCTCAGCAGCAGGCATCGCGTGGTCAACCTCAGCAGCAGGCATCGCGTGGTCAACCTCAGCAGCAGGCATCGCGTGGTCAACCTCAGCAGCAGGCATCGCGTGGTCAACCTCAGCAGCAGGCATCGCGTGGTCAACCTCAGCAGCAGGCATCGCGTGGTCAACCTCAGCAGCAGGCATCGCGTGGTCAACCTCAGCAGCAGGCATCGCGTGGTCAACCTCAGCAGCAGGCATCGCGTGGTCAACCTCAGCAGCAGGCATCGCGTGGTCAACCTCAGCAGCAGGCATCGCGTGGTCAACCTCAGCAGCAGGCATCGCGTGGTCAACCTCAGCAGCAGGCATCGCGTGGTCAACCTCAGCAGCAGGCATCGCGTGGTCAACCTCAGCAGCAGGCATCGCGTGGTCAACCTCAGCAGCAGGCACCGCGTGGTCAACCTCAGCAGCAAGCGTCTGGAGGTCAGCCTCAGCAGCAGGCATGGGGAAGGCCACCTCAACAGCAAATGCCGGGAGGTCAGCCTCAACAGCAGGAACCGCGTGGTCAACCGCAGCAGCAGGCACCGCGTGGTGAACCTCAGCAGCAGGCATGGGGAAGGCCACCTCAACAGCAAGCGTCTGGAGGTCAGCCTCAGCAGCAGGCATGGGGTAGGTCACCACAACAGCAAGCGTCTGGAGGTCAGCCTCAGCAGCAAGCACCAATACAACCCTTGCAGAAAGCACCAATGCAACCCTTGCAGAAAGCACCAATGCAACCTCAAGCAGAGACATCTTCCCAACAATCAACTTCGTCTATTCAGGTACAGTGCATGTTATTCATTGTTTCATCGCTGAAATAATGGGTGATATCTATCGCGTAATTAGTGTAATATTAAGTTTTGCAATCGAATATCTGATCTCAGAGCCTTGAATAATAATATAACTTGTAGTATTTGTTCCTTTTTTTACGTAGGTGTTGGGAAGTCAATCTGAACAAATTGCGAACTGGAACGTGAAAACCTCAGAACAGCTCATGGCTTTAATACCGCCGAAGATTAAAAGCGGAAAAAGGAATACCCCACTCACTTTGGAAACAAATATGTTTAGACTAGTTTTCCCAAAAAATTTCGAAAAACACGTTGTGCATTACGATGTAATCATTACACCGGACAAACCAAAATGTTTGTTAAGGCGTGTCTTCGAGAAGTTTCGGCAGATGCAATGTCCAAAAAGATATCCAGCATTTGATGGTAAAAAGAATGCGTACAGTGCGAAAAATCTTCCCTTCGGCGATGAAAGTGTAAATATCGAATTAATTACTTACGTTCGAAATCATTCATATAGCCACTGTCAGCATATTATCATATTTCATGTGTTACTTACACTACAGCCGGAAGTAAAGGTGACCATTCTGGATATGGAATGTAACAAAGAAGACAAAAACAGGACTTTCATTGTGTGTCTAAAGAAAGTTGCGGACCTTGATTTGGGGTGGTTAAGCGATTATTCAAGAGGTCTAACTCAGTATGAGAGAACACGGAGGGATATGCAAGCATTAGATATTATTTTGCGTCACGGACCTTCGCTCCATTATACCCCGGTAAATGTCATTAGATTAATAACTCGATCGATTAAAATGTTAAATTAACTTTTTTGATAGGTCGGCAGATCACTTTTCGCCCCGCCAAGACAATCGTATTCATTGTCAGACGGTTTAGATTTATGGGTCGGCATGTTCTCTTCAGTTGTTATCGGATCCAGACCTTACGTGAACATAGATGGTACATAAAAGTATATTTATTCACGGCTTAACTGTATAGAAAATTTTTTCCTGGGAAGAGGGGCTAAAATGGCTTTGTTCTTTCTCGTATACTTTTCTCTCTTAAGTAATTTGCTGGACCGCCACCGCCCTAACCGCACCGTAGTATATTTAAAAACGCTTTACATCGTATTGACGATGGATGATTATAGATCCCACTTTTCAAGGCGACAAAATGGTTGCACAGTTAAGTCGTGAATAAAGTTCTATATGCAACACGAGAGTAAAGTCGATCCGAAGAGGATTTCCTCCCGCTCAGGCAGTAAATCCATCCGCGGGAGTTATCAACGACTTTATTCCCTTGTTGCTTAATGTGCATAATTTGTTGTATAATCGTTTCGCTCATTTATGAGTCTCTCTAAATTGTACGTTAATTTTGTTGCATTTCGAACACAGTTGCGCATAAAGGATTCCCTAAGCAGCAACCAGTTGTTACATTGTTCGAGGAATTAGGTGTAAATCTGAACAAAGAAGGAATGGACTACAGAACAACTGAGAAAACAAACTTTTTAAAAGGATTGAAAGTTCAATACGAAATCCCTGGACAACCTAACTCCAAAAGAACGTATCGGGTTAACGGGCTCGTTCAATGTGCGAAACGTAATGAATTTCAATATGAAAATAGAAGATACACCATCGAAGAATATTTTGCACAGCATAAGAGATATAGAATACAATATCCTTATGTACCGTGCCTGTGGGTAGGATCTAGAAATAGCAAAATCTACGTGCCTGCCGAGGTGAGTAATGAACAGAACAACTACCTTTAAGTTGAGAAGAACGTCTTAGTTGCATAGTATATGTCACAGCTGTGTACGATCATGGGTGGCCAAGTGACACAAAAAAAATTGAATGAAGAGCAGACTAAGCGAATGATACGTGCTGCAGCGACTAAGCCTGACGAACGTAAACATAAAATTTTAGAAAAGGTATGTTTGTTCGAACACACGTTATACATAATACTATGTTGCGATCGATTTGTCATTGATAACATATATTCCACAGTTTGCTCAAATGAATTTGAATGATCAACCAACGTTGACGAACGAATTTCATCTGTCTGTGCAAGGGCAATTTGAAAGGGTTCCAGCAAGAGTGCTCGCAGCTCCTACATTACATTACAATAGACCAGTTACAGTAGCCAAAGGAGTATGGAGGATAGAAGAATTTTTACGAAAAGGTGAATTACCAGACTGCTCTTGGACCATTTTGAACTTAGACAGAGGGATGCAAGAAAATACCTTATACGAGTTCCAGGCCATGCTGCAACGGGGTGGTATGTATGATGTTACAGCAACGTGTATCGTCAGTGTCTGGATTGAGGATCATCTGTTGAAAGTTGTATTACATTTCTTTTCAGGCTTAGCTTTAGGAATGAGAATCGGTAGAGCGTTTACTCCGTTTCAAACTATACTAGTTCAAAGAGATACAAGATCCATTACTTCTTACTTTGAACGAATGAAGAAGACCGGCATCAAGATGGTAATAGTAATACTCTCGACTATGAGCAATGCGTACAGTGAGTAACACGATGATATGACTTGTACTTTACTTCGTACGTCGAAAACATTTTGTTAATATCTTACTCTCTCAAGGCTGCGTGAAGCAGATAAGCGAGCTTAAAGTATCAGGAGGTATCGTCACTCAATGCGTAAAGTCTCACACATTGAGATCTAAAATGAACCCTGCAACGATCTCAAACATTCTCTTAAAAATTAATTCGAAGCTTAACGGCGTTAATCACGTCCTTGACAACAGACAACTGTAATGATTTTTTACATTACATACAGTATGCACAAACAAGTGTTTATCTACATGAGTTATTATCTTTTAGGCCCAAGTCCTTGATTGATAGCCCTTGCATAATAGTTGGGGCAGATGTGACGCATCCATCACCTGACTCAGTGAACATACCTTCGATTGCTGCGGTAAGAGATATTTTTGAACTTTCATCTATTCAAAATACTATTTATCGTGTACGAGTGAGACTAATAAACGTTTCGACGCAGGTAGCAGCGAGCATTGATACAGAAGGTTTTAAATATAGGATTGAACTGAGACTTCAACCACCGAGGGAAGAAATTATTCAACATTTGGAACAAATTATGGTAATACACTTGCAGGCCTTTGAGCGTCTCACAAAGACACCACCAGCAAAAATAATTTTTTATCGGTAAATAGGAAACATCCTCATGTAACAAATCCATTTGCGTGATCCATACGTAACAATACATGTACCCGTTTTCTATAAATGTAGGGATGGTGTGAGCGAAGGCGACCTTCCGCGAGTGATGAAATATGAACTACTCGCGATAAGGAAAGCAGTCGCCTCTCTACACAAAGGGAATCTTCACGCGATACCTATCACGTTTCTCGTTGTTCAAAAGAGACATCACGTACGACTCTTTCCGACTGACAAATCCAAGACCGACGATAAGAACCAAAACGTGCAAGCTGGAACCGTCGTCGACACGGAAATCACGCATCCGACTCAAATAGACTTTTACCTCGTGTCTCATGCCAGTATTCAAGTACGTTGACTACATTTAATATACCTAGAAGAGGAAGCTTGAAAGATTCCTTTTAATATAAGAAAACGAACTTGTTCGCAGGGTACTGCCAGGCCTACAAAATACAGATGTATATGCAACGATTTGCAATTAACGGAAGAAGAAATAGAAACGTTAACGTATTACCTTTGTCATATGTTCGCTCGTTGTACACGATCCGTGAGCTATCCTGCGCCCACGTATTACGCCCACTTAGCAGCTTTCAGGGCGAGAGCTTATATACAAGAGTAAGTTCGTGATCATTATGTTCCGACGTACAATGGGTGATCTTAATGCTATGTATGACGTTGTAATTTTGTTCCAGTGTTCCTGTAGACCTGAACAACCTAGATCGTGAACAACACAGTAAAATGAATCTTCAATTGAATATGGAGTCACCGATGTTCTTCGTGTAATATTGCTTTATAATATTTTTAATTCTTAATAATATTACTTACTTATAGACTTCAATACTTTATAATATGTATTTTCATCAAATTTTGTTCGAATAAAATATAATGCATTATAGAAAATATGTTTAAGATTATTCCTGATCATAATATTGAACTTAATATTCTGATGAATATAATGTCTACGTGTTAAGAGGTAGAGTTTTTTTTTAAAAGAAAACACGGGTAGAGATCATCATATTTATTGATACGAATCTAAACTTCGTATCCGCCATTAATAATACATAATATCATCATACACTACAATCAATCATATAAAAATAGGTCATCATAAAACATCAATAACATATCCTTGGTGAACACATGTAGGTTTTATGTATGTATATACATGTATATTGTATAAGGGCTCGGGTAATCAGGAAATGGAAATCATAAATCAGCAAAGTGAAAGATTTTAACTTGTACAATTATTAATATGAGCAGTTTATTTTAAAAATAGCCTGAGACCCCTTATTCAAAGTATTAATATGTACATTTATACTATATCTTTTCATTTTGGGTAAAGTAGATACTTTAGTCAGAATTTCAAGTCAGATTTGCAAAATTCAAAGTGGCGGAGCCAAGATGGCAGATAAGATTTTTGAAAATCAGCGGATTCGTGACAAATTTAGTATAGTAGAATTTTTAGGAACTCAGATCACGAATCTCAAGTCAGATTTGCGAAAATCTCGTCCTTCATCTTAGATTCGCCGCGTGTCGTTGCCGTGACAAAAAGCAGTCACATCAATCCTGCTGAATACGTAAGAAACACCGTGAAAAAACTGTCTGCATTACAAAAAGCATGGTGTGCACCATGGGCTAAGTGGGCTTTTGACCTTGTGTGGTTGCAGTACTCGGTCTAAAAAATACCACTTTACGCCCTTGGTGCACAATATACTATTGAATGGACTTGGGCTCTTTCAAAATAAACGGCTCATATAATGATTCTACGAACGCTTGAGATCTTCCGTCCCGTTCAAATGTTCAGTGTTATTGATTTTTAAACATTTCCTAATTTCTAAACCCAACGCAGCGCCCAGAGGTGGAGGTACCGCATTGCCGATTTGTCGATGTTTCTCAAGAACATTGCCGTAGAAGCGGAAAGAATCCGGGAAGCCTTGCGACCTGGCACATTCGCGGACACTTACGACTCTAGTTTGCTCGGGATGAAGAACTCTACCCTAAGGATAAAAATAAGGGACATTACGTATATGAACAAACGTACATGAAAAAGATGTGTATACGTTCAAATAAAAGCGATACATACTTGTTTGCCCATAGGTTCTGGATTTGTAATTGTAGTCCCGAAATATCCACCCCACTCCAATCTGCCGTACAAGCCCGCCCAATGATTATGACGTCTCCCAGTGTGCGGTAAACACCATGGGATCAACGTGTTGTACTGCCTGTCCATAGGATCGCACGGTTTACCCGTACAGCAACAGCACACGCCGCGCAATGCTCCGGTGGAACTTTTACCCGCTTTCTTATCATGATGCATATATTCCCTGCGATCGAAACAAGTTGTTCACGTAGATCATTCTAATTATTTAATGGCTGGAAGATAAAGAAGCGGGCTTACAATTTTTTTGAATACGTTCCGTCGCTCAGACGTATCGCGATATTTGGTAAGTCGCGCCAGTCAGATCCGCAGGCAGTGGGAATGTGCGCTATTCGAGCTTCAACCAACGGAGCCATGTCTTTGCAAATATGATCTCTCAATACTGCATCAGATTCTCTAGGTCTTATCTACAATGTTTAAGACAAATAATTACCACGGTGTTTCTTACTAATATAAATTTAATAACACGACTTACCTGGCGTTGAAAATGAGATATCGGCTCCTCGCCGTATGACATCTCTTCGTGATTCCATCCGTTACGAATAGTAGGCAAATCGCACATCGCGTCACGAACACTGATCGTCCTGTACGGTGCCGACTCCGTCCAATCGCAGTTCGACGAATACTTTAATACAAATATACGAAATATGAATATGAAGTCAAGAATATTTTAATGGACGAAAATTCGTCGATCTCGACGATCTTACTTTTTTATTATCGACCATGACGCTTAGTTGACCTGCTCGTTTATTAAATACGTGGGTCGGTTCGGGATATTTCGGAAGGACCTCTCCGGGCGCTGCTGCCAGTATTATTAATCTAAAAACGATTAAAGAAATAAGTGAAACAGTAATTGGAGCAAGTCGAAAGACACGTACCTTCTTCTCGTTTGCGGAACACCATAATTCCCGGCTTGTAATATTCCAAACGTACATTGGTAACCCATTCGTACAAGACATCTCAATGTTAATTTCAGTACCATGCTCTTTTTAAAAGATACAAAATTTCGGACGTTCTCCATAACAAAAAACTTTGGTCTGTAATAATCGCAGTAGGATAAACACGATACTACTAAGGAATTCTTAAACAACGAATACTGGCGCGAATTAAAACGGTTCATCCCGCTGAAGCCTTGGCAAGGTGGCCCGCCGCAAAGTAACTCTACGTCTCCCTTCTGCGGTAAGCGTTGGTTGCTATTATCGCAAGTATCACCCTGCGTGCATAAATTGCACATAAAAAAAAGAACAGGAAATACGTGTAAATGTGCCCAGATCGTTAGATAGTCTCACCTTCAGTACTTTTCGCAAAAGTACATTACAGTCTTCACAAAATACCGTCGTGTCAGGATTGTTAAGACGGTAAGCACATGCGGCCGTTTCATCGTTTTCAATCGCCCATCGATTGTCGGTAATACCAGCTCGTTTTAATCCTTCGGATAATCCTAGAATGCGAATGGATGTTCACGTAAATGTTTAGCGCGATTCCAGCGATTTGAGTTCGAAGCTTTGTACTGACCACCACAACCAGCGAAAACGTCCAGCGTTCTCAGTTTCCTCGGCACGGTACAATAATCTACAGGCCTGTCAACCACTTTCTTATCATCAGTCTGAGATCTTTTACTCTTGCATTTCGCTTTCCCCTTGCCTTTTCCGACCTCCGATTTCCCAATATTCGTCGCATTATACGGCGGGTCTACGAACGTCTTCTCCGACGCGTCGTACGCTTGAGTAAAATAGAATCGATGTGGTCCCGCGGCTGTCCATTCCTCCACGGACTGATCCAAATTATCCGAATAAATTAAATAACACTTTCCCGCCACGTCCGCAAATTTAACATTACAAACTGAAACAACGACGAGAAAATCATGTATCCGATACCCGTGATAGACGAATTTCGTCCCATCGTACTATTTACCTTCATCGCTCCAATAGACCATGTTTAAGTCGACCTGTTGCATCAACGTAAGTCCTTTGTGTGTATTCTCCGGCCGGTACATCTTGTTTATTCTGATCCATATATCAGAGGAAGCAACCAACTGATTCTTAGTTTTCGCGTAAATCGAGTTTATGTATCCAATATGAAACGGTTCCGGTGTATCGTGATTCGAACCTTTCACGTGATCCGACGATTTCCGATAATATTCCGGATACATATCTTCGTCCACCTTCCCCTTTTTTACTTTCCGGACAAGATGGTACGTAGACGTATACGTGTACTTTATAGCCGTTGGTTTTAAGTACACAGCAGAGCCAACTCGGTATTCTTCACCTTTGAATTTTACCATACCATACGTTACTTCTGTACTGCTCTTCTCTTCCTGCTTCTCGAATACCCTCGGCGTATAGTAACATTGCAGATCGGTAAATCTTACGCATGCAGGACAAAATCTATGGTTAATCTCTTTCCGCGGGCATTCAGGATCCAAAGGAGGATCTTCGAAGCGAGCCGTCTCCGGAGTATATTTCTTTTGATAAAAGAACGTCCGGGAATCTTTATTTTCAATCTCATCCTCTGGTAACACGTCCGCATTTCCTAAAGTATAATCGACCAATGTTGAGAATTAAATATTTCTTGACACACACACACACACACACACACACACACATATACAAATTTCACAAATCGACATTTACCTAATTCGTGCCAGTTATCTGGACTTTTCTTATATATGACTCGGGCTTTCGATTTGATCGACGCGAACGGTACGTTATCGCACTCGTCGAGTAAGAAAAGTTCAAACGGATCAGAAGTTTCACCCAACACTGTGTCGCTACCTCTTCTGAACCAGTTAGCGTGGCACAGTTTCGCTCCGCTTTTGTCCTCCCACATGTACATGACTTTTGCCACTTGCAATGGCACAGTAGGGTCGCTGGATTCGATTAGAACATAATCATTCGCTCGTATCTCTTCGTCTACGAGCATAACAGAATTATAAAACGTTCGTCGTCCGTCATTTAAAATCTGTTGTCCCACCCATGTTATTTCTTTATCCACATGCTTGAACTCTTTCAATATCATCTTTTGGGTAATCTTCGTATCACCCATTAACGTATCGTTCACGTCATCGTCGTCTTGGTCGGAATCGTCAGCTTCCTAGAATCATCGACCAAGTTCATTAGTGAGTAAATATAACGAACACTTATTAAATTAGTAAAATGGCTTACTTGTATAGCCATATTTGGACATCTTCTCCCGTTGCAAGCTTGTTTACTCCTCCCAGATCCACCGAACTTAATCATATCCTTGCAAGCCGAACACTGTCCACAATCAGGTTGTTGACAGATCTCGCAAACTCCGCACCTCTGTCTTTTAGGCCTCAATATTTCTTTCTCATTATACGTGGCTATCTGGTCAGAGAAGAATGTTTCAAACATATTATTGACCAGTTTCGTGGTCGTAGCCTTGGTCCACAGAACTTTCTTAGACTTCTGGTTCCCAGCTGCCGGTCTACGCAGTTCTATCCTTTTGTTCAACGTGACCCCAGCGAGCGTGACCAATGCTCGCATACACGAGGTCGTAATTAAAAGAGGATCTTCCGGTCTTGCGGCTGAATCGAAAGAAATGACTTGCTCGCAGATGAACTGTGCGTGTCGTAACAAGGAGTCTTCTGTAAATCTGGATAATCCCTTCGGTGGCACTATGGTCTGTAGTTTGTTCAACAAATCCTCGTACGTTGGATTAACTTCATCTAATAGGAACTCGATGACAATTTTGCTCATATAAATCTTCTCCTTTACAGAATCCATGAACGGGGCATACGCTTCCGAGGGTTCCATCAGTATATATTCTCCGTATGCTGTTGTGAACCCAACAATAGCCAGTTCCCCACCGTCATACCCCGACATCCACCATTCGTTTATCGGACCCATGTCTTTGGTGGGCACACCGCCTTCTGGACATGGATTCTCTTCGTATATAGGCTTCATGTAACCAGAAAAGTGTAGAATTACGTTTTTCTCTATCAGTCCAGCATCAAAATGACAAAGGTGTCCATTTTTATCGTAAACACTGAAGTGTGTTAACTTGTTCTGTGGCCTTTCATCGCTTTCGTCGACCATGTCTTCCTCCCCAGTGAACAGAGACAATCTGGGATCCGTCAATGCGATGAATTCTTCCACGGCACCGTTCGGATGACCTGGATATATTTTCAAATCGTCGCTCGATAAGCTCTGCCGACAATATTCACATTTCTGTTGAAGATTATTAGACTTCAAACGCGACACTCCGATTTTCCCTACATTCGTCGTGTCATAATTTTCAGTCTTCGTCTTTTTCAATACATTTTCATCCGATCCGTCGACCGAATCTAATTGAATTTCTTTCGATTCTAATGCAGATCTATTGTCACATGTTGTTTCGTCGTTTGATAACATAGGTATCTTTATTTCTAATTCGTCGGTTTCCTTGTTCTTTCTCTTTGTAGTTTTCTTTGGTTGTCTCTTTCTTTTGGGTAATTTACCTTTAATCGCACCTCGATTATTCGTACTAGAAGATGGTTGCAAACTAATGTTCTTTCTACTGCGTAGGTTCCTCCCACTCTTACTGTTCTCTTGAAGCAGTACAGATTCAGTCACTACGGAATGGAAATTCATTTTAGCTAATCATATTTAATTTAATGGCCATCCGGGATATCTGACGCCCCAACAAAAATTCGATCGCTGTTAAACGCGACTGATTCTTGAAAATGAAACATTCAGAGAAAATAAAATGTTTTAATGGAGGAATAGTTTTGAAGAAAAATATTACGAATTGTTTAATCGACAACAGCTTAAAACTGTTAGGGCATCCTTCACCCAATGTTACCATTATAGTTTTAACATACCATCTTTGTTTTCTTCTTTAACAATAGTGTTACTATCTTGCCCATTCGCGCCAATTTCATCGTTACTTTGTTCTTCAATTTGAGAAGTTTCAAGGTTCGATTCGACCGAAGAATACATGTTGAATAAAGTCAGTCTCCTTCGTTGAATTAATAATCACTCCTCGAAAAATGTAAATTCATTGGATCTAAGTCGAAACGAATGAGCTATATTCTTACGAATAAATTTATATTAAACGAACGCATTATTAATAATAATGAACATACTCACCTTTGTACAGTAGACCGCATATGAAATGAAGGATCGTAGCCGGCGAGGAGGACGCTTGCGAACAGGTCAACAGGCGGGAAAGAAAGAATCAGGTATTGGTATTACATAGGTCAGGAACGCGCGTAGACCGTAGGCCAGCGTACCGCCAAAATTCTTTAAGGCCCCTTTACATAAATCCGGATGTACATACGCATCCTCTATTTCCGTCCCAAAATTCCAAAAGTTTCCGGTGGTGGCAGGCAGGCAGTGGCGTCTGTGGCTTATTCAAGCTTATTGTTAGACAGTTAAAATTGGTTAAAATATATTACCTGGTGCCACAGAGAAGTCTTTCAAATCGTTACTGATCGTTACGTCTAAAATTACGACCCAAGTATCTACACTGTGCGACTCACGATAAGAATCTTGGCTAAACGCAATGGGAGAGAGAAATTTAACCAACGAGCAGAAAATTTTCCTGGAAGAATGCGAAGCTGAGTTTAAAGATCGGTACACGGAGAAGGATGATAAATTTGTGGAATTGAAAAACATGAAACGGAAGCCGCCGCCAATTGATCCTTGGTATCCCACAAGCAGAACTAGAAATTTTAAAGGAAATCGAAACTACGACAGAGGACCCAATCGGAGACATAATTATAAGCCATACCACCGAGGGCCATACCGTCATACACGATAATTGTCACGTCTACATATAAAGTTTCTTTCAATCTGTAAATAAATTTACACCTAATCATACGCCGTACAGTTGAATTTTTATTCTTCCTAGTTACCCGTAAGATCGTAGTTTAGGGAAAAGTGTCCGATGTCCGCCATATCTTCAATTGTTGTAGGGCGCTGAATTTAAATTGGGAAACGATATATGTATAGAAACTTATTGACGATTAGATAACTACGAAACGATTGAAACAGTGCGCCGTCATTATCTGTTCATTGTTAAGGTATGTTTCAACATATTTTTAAACACTATATTTGCAATGTATATTTTCAAACATATTAAAAATAATAAATATACAAATAATAAATGTAATATGTTTAAAAATATACAGTACTGCTCAATTTGTTTGAATTTTTAAAAAAAGAATTTGAAAAAATTCTCAAACATTTTCAACTACGCTACGGACGTGTTAGAACTTTTTCATATTTTCCGCACGATGTTAAATAAGGAAAAAGTAAAAAAATTGATTTCTCTATTTATAATAAAAAATAAGAACTGCTAAGATTTGGAGCTAAAAATTGGACTGAATATTTCTCTTTTTGTAAGCTATCGAATGTCGCAAACTGCGGTTCATTCTGCTCAAGGGCACTTTTGACCAGCGGTGCTGTGAAAATGATCAGCCAAGCCCGGTAACCGATTGTATACAGCAGGTAATCTCCGCTAGGATTATACCCGAGTCTCCGGGTCGAAAACTTTCAAATCATTAAAGGGTTTTCAGATGTCTATTGCAAGGTGAACACGTTCTTTTACGGGAGGGTAACGGTAATTTCCTCGAAGAAATGCAAACTATTGGTCTTGCGTCCTGTCTTACATTTTTACAGCAAATTATAAATACATGCGATGATCCGAAGATAACGTTTATTTAAAATTAATAATAAAATTTATTATATAAGATTATTTTTTCATACTAATTATTCAACTTTCATTATTGTTATTATATAAAGTACATACAGTTATCTCGTTAAATTCATTGAAATGTTTATGGTTGTTAAAAAAAAATTATATATGCACGTGCAATCGCTGAGCGTGACTCGTTTGCACCCCTTTACGCGAAAACGAAGGAGCCGAGGCGAAAGCGTTTGCTGGTCATCGAAGGATCCACGAGACACGAGCATTTAAAGGGCAGGTTTGCAGTTTGGGTCTTGCCGTTTACCTGATACACGTATACGGAAAAATTACGCGTGTAGTGGTACGTCGTTCAAATTACGCGCGCGGCTAGGTTCAAACTTTAAAGCTAAGACATAACAGCATGCTAGACTGGGTCTACGCTATGGGCGGAAAAATCCGCAAAATCTTACATCAAGACTTTTAGTTCCACTTTTCCTCACCGTACGCGCAGCGATCGAAATTCCGCAAATCTTACATCACTGAGCCACATCAAGCCACATTATTGCTCCATATTTTCTCTCTAATGGCACATGGATGTTAAAACGTACTCAGTATTTTATTAAACGATACGTACATACCATTAATTTATAAAGTAAAAATGTCAGTACCCGACAAAGTGTTGATGCGGAAAATAAAGAAAAGGGAGAATAAGAAACTGGAGATTTTAAAAGAACGAGAGAAGCAGCTGAAGAACGGTAAGTGCGGTTAGAGAACACGTTGTATACTTAGTTCTTATATCATTACCATCGATAATGATTTTCAACTTATCGCATATTAGTGAAAGATGATACTATAAATGAGAACTCGAACAGTACTGCTGGAGAACAAGAAATAGACGTTTCCGAAAGACTGAAACGACGTTGCACGGAAGAAGGAGGATCACAGAAAAGTAAGTTCAAACTTTTTTCCTGCTTTCTGATTTCCTGAAGATGAAATGTGTCTTGATATATGTGATATTATAGAGAAAAAGAAAAAAGTGAAGAATGATGAATTAGTAGAGAATGAAGATGATAGCGATAAGTCTGTAGAATCTACCAATCGTTCGAATGGCAAGTACTTAACTGAAGATAATGCCACTGTCGAATCTGAAAGATGTAAGTGTAACATATATGCATTGTTATAGAATCTTTAAAATCTAAAAACATTTATTTATTTAATTTCACACAGTACCAGGATCTACGATAGGTTTAGAAATAGCAAACGACACAAGTTTCAAAGTGTTAGAAGGAACAGTCTGTGAGAATACTCGGAAAGCAATAGAAGATATGGGCTTTACGAACATGACTGAGATACAAGCAAAATCCATTCCACCTCTGTTAGAAGGAAGGGATTTAGTTGGTGCTGCCAAAACAGGATCTGGAAAGACTCTCGCATTTTTAATACCAGCCGTTGAATTAATTTATAAATTAAAGTTCATGCCTCGAAACGGTACTGGCTGCATTATTATATCTCCAACGAGGGAATTATCTATGCAAACATTCGGAGTTTTGAAAGAACTGATGAAATATCATTATCATACATATGGTTTGCTAATGGGAGGTGCTAATAGGCAAACTGAGGCTCAGAAACTGGCCAAAGGAATTAATATCGTTGTGGCTACACCTGGAAGATTATTGGATCATCTACAAAATACATCCGATTTTCTATACAAAAATCTTCAGTGTCTCGTTATCGACGAAGCTGATCGTATTTTAGACATTGGTTTCGAAGAAGAACTCAAACAGATCATTAACATTTTACCGAGTCAGTTAAATATCCTTCATATTTAAATACACTTGATAACCAATACATTTTAATGATTACTATATTTTATTACAGAAAAGAGGCAGACTATGTTGTTCAGTGCAACACAGACTAAGAAGACGGAGATGCTAATGAAATTAGCTTTAAAGAAGGAACCAGTCTATGTCGGTGTCGACGACGATAAGGAAAAGGCGACAGTGGAAGGTTTGGAACAGGGTTACGTCGTGTGTCCCAGTGAGAAGAGATTCCTACTTCTGTTCACTTTCTTGAAAAAGAATAGGAACAAGAAAGTTATGGTTTTCTTCAGCTCGTGCATGTCCGTGAAATATCACCATGAACTTCTAAATTATATCGATTTGCCAGTATTAAGTATACATGTACGTGTTTGTATTAAACGTTATAATTATTATTGGAAATGTCTATCACGCTTACGTTATATTTCAACTAATCCATTAGGGAAAACAGAAGCAAACGAAGAGAACAACGACGTTCTTCCAATTTTGTAACGCTTCTACGGGTATACTTCTTTGTACCGATGTAGCTGCGCGTGGTCTCGATATTCCAGCTGTTGATTGGATCGTACAATACGATCCTCCGGATGATCCTAAGGTACGTTTTAATGATATGTATGTTCTATGTTAAAAAAGTATATTTTAAAGAGAAATTAAACATTGCTTTAGGAATATATTCATCGTGTTGGTCGAACTGCTCGAGGAGAAGGCAGCAGTGGTCACGCCTTGTTAATCTTAAGGCCGGAGGAACTCGGTTTCCTTCGTTATTTGAAACAAGCCAGAGTACCTGTAAACGAATTTGACTTTTCGTGGAATAAAATTGCTGATATTCAGTTACAGGTTCGTATATTCTATTTAACAGTCTAAATATACAAAACACAAAAGTAACGTATGTTCAACGACGATGTAAAGATCAATTAAATCAGTTGCTTCTTTATTGGTATGTTTCAGCTTGAGAAATTGATCACAAAAAATTACTTTTTAAACATGTCAGCTAAAGAAGCGTTCAAAGCTTACGTGAGGGCATATGATTCTCATCATTTGAAACAAATCTTCGATATCGAAACGCTGGATCTAGCAAAAGTTGCTAAATCATTTGGATTCCTGGTTCCACCAGCCGTAGATTTAAGTATCCTTTTATTGAATAAAGTTTCAATACATTAAAGACTTTGGCACACAAATTTTCAGCAAACAGTAAGGGAGTATGCTTTTTCCTTAACGAAATTTCATCGTAGAAGTGGGAGTGAGTAAAAATTCACGGCCACGAAAGAGAATAGGCGGAGGCGGTTACGGGTATTTTAAAAACGTGAACAATCCAAATTCGGAGAAGCAATTGAAACGCAGCAAATCTTTCCGGCAAGTGAACAAACGTGACAAGGATAATCGACAGTTTGCCAGATGACTATAAATATATGCGTGCAAGATTTGTATACAAGACGTGGTCGCTGACCGACTGCTGCGCGCTGTCTAATGAACTGAGTTTGGAAGATCATTGTGTTCTTGTACATATTTAGCACTCAGTTTGAACGCAGTGAAACGTATTCAAGAACAATAAATGTTTTTTAAATAAAATTTAATTCCTTGTAATTCATTCCGCAGCATGTTTAATCTTAAAAAGACGAATTCATTTAAAGATGTATTGCTCTTGCAGAACGAATATATTTAAAATTAATTGGTGAACGGAGGAACGGAGTACTGCCGATATAATCAAATAGAAACGGTACGCGGCTCTTAATTGTTTGAACTAGCTTTCATTTTTTCGTAAAGAGATGACTAGAAAGTATCTACCGATCAGTGAAAACTGACAAGGGAAACATTTTATAACGTGAGACACCCACGTTACTTCTCGGTAGGACCATGTAAGGCATGTGTATGACGTCAACGCTACTTTACGTTAACCAATATACGTGGGCAGGCGTGTTGGATATGGCGCAAAAGGTAACGCTCGTGGGAGAACGCTGAGGCGACAGTCTTTAGAATCGATCGGCTGTTTTCGAACGTCTCCGTATGCCTACTGAATTCTTTAAAGACCGTTGCTAATCACGAAATTTGATGTTGTAATCAAATTTCCGTGCACTCGTTCCTTTCTGTTGTTAAGACAATAGCTTTTCAGTTCTTATATGCATGTTTTTATGTCTCTGATCTGGTTAGACGAAAATCATACATTCCATAAGATCTAACAAATCGACTCAAGGAACATAATATATGCATATATACTTATTTGTCAACCGGCATGCCGTGTAATCCCATAATGTAGCAATCAATGCGTAGTTCAAATTCACGATACGATATTCTGCGTGGCTGCAAATTGAAAGTAGGCAGCAGCATTAATTATACATTCTAAGGTATACAGCTCGAAGATTATAGCGCAGTTTAACGCGTTGATACATAGTATATCATAATTAAAAGTGTTTTACACATGTAACAAATTACGCGTTTCTTTAATGAAGTGGCAGTAATTAATCATTGACTAAAACGCGTATTCGTGAATATATACCATGTTTATTTATGTTACGCTTATATCCGAGGATTCTAATTTAAAAACGTTACGTGATTCTAATCATAATTATATCGCAGTTTTTTCATTCATAACGTTTGCGTACAAAATGACGAGCTTCGTTTGATTTTAAAACATCGAGTTAAAGTCAAAATCTAAATTTAGTTCGCGGTTTATTTAAAGCATTACGCGGGTTTAGTTGGATGATCGGCTAATTCTATTAAGCATTATAGAACAACAATGTATAAATAATAACTTTGGAACAAATCGAGAGAGAGGAGAAAAATATATGTTCTGTATAAAGTAAATAAGATTCTTGATGAAGATCGAAATGTGTTAATGATCTATTGTAATTAAATACACTGTTTTGTACATTTTGCGAGTTAGTAAACTAACGCAAGTTCTTCTCGTATCTTATCATGATGGACAAACGAACGAGCAGTTCCTGATTACACATTTGCTGTAGTTTAATTTTGTTCCTCGCTGCAGATCAATGTCCTTAAATCTTGTGGCCCATCGTGACTGTGGAACGCGTGGGATAAGTAAATGTATACGCGAATATAAACGCGTTTCGCGATGTTCCGTTAACAAAAGGAACAGTTGAGAAAACGGTGGCAGTCCGGTGCACGGTATCCGGGGTGCCCGGGTGCTCGTCCAGGTGACTACGATCCTGAATTATCCAACTTGTATGCGACGACGGTACCATACGGCATGTATTGGTCTCGGTCTCGGTACCGGCGCGGCGCGCATACGCGCCGTAACCATACGCAGAGGAGAGGCCGTATATGGTAGTGGGCGGTAGAAGCGCGCCGACAGAGGTAAAATACGCAAGAACCATGGCGCACAGGACGCGTGCGCATTGTCATGAATGCGCATGCCTGCGCGCTGAGGAATCTACGGGTAGTTCGCCGAGACGCATGCACGGGTGGTGCAGTAGAGCCGAGAATCCCGTAGCGTGTGTTTGTTTTTAACTTCGCGATCTACGCTCCATCTCTTTTAACCTTAACAGAATCCTACTCGTGAGAGAGGCTGTGATTTCTTTCTCTCCTTCTCTCTCTCTCTCTCTTCTCCCCCTTCTCCCTGTTACCCTCTCAATCTTTCTCTCGGTATCTAATTTTCCTGCCTTTCCCTTCCTTTATTTCTTTTCCCTGCTTCTTCTCCTTCCCCCCTCTTTCTTCTTTTTTCTCCTCTCACAGTTTCTTATTTCCCCGCTCCTTATCCCCCCCTTTCTCCTTCGTGTCTCCTTTCTCCGTTTGACTCTTCTCGTTCTCAGTCTCATGGTCTCTCTCGATCCCTCGTTCTCCCTCTCGCGATCCTACCACGGTTTCCGTCGCTCTTACGTACTTCTCTGTCCCCTCCCATCCTCCTCCTCATCCTCGTTTTCCTCCTTACACATAGTATACTGACTCCGCTATTTCTAAAAACGTAACGCAATCGTGGCAACGTATGCGAGTAGCGCGCCAGAGAAACCACGAGTGAGAAGGCGCGACGTACGAACGAATCGAGTTCTGCAATTAATTAACTAGATAATTACTGTGCAAGTAAAAAAAAGTATCGAAGAAAGTAAAGTGACACGTATTTAAATAACATACGTACAGTGAAATCTAACAGGGAAAACGCGTTGTGCGCGAACGAGAAAAACGTGAAAAACGAACTGCTGGTTGTTTTTGGATCTTTGATCGCAACGTCGTCTGTCTTTTGCTCGTTTTTACGTTTTAACGTTACACTATTTTCTATCCGTTTCTCCCTCTCTCTGCAACGCAACAATACACCTCTCTATTTGTTTTTGTATATCTTTTTTTTTACTATATTTTCGCGTGACCGCCATAGGAGGTAATCAAAGTAATTGCGATGTGTGATAATACTAACACGACGACGCAGAGTATAGCGGACTACCTGTCACAGTTACTAAAAGACCGAAAGCAGTTAGCTGCTTTCCCTAATGTCTTCATACATGTAGAACGCCTACTAGACGAAGGTAAGCAACCATTAATCCACTAATATCTCTTCTCTCTCTCTTTGTACTTACGGCGAATTAATTCATCGTTTCACCATCGCGCGACACGCCTTACTTTTCGTTTGCATGATCAACGCCCACAGCCACAGCGGTTCGCACTTACTCCGGGATCCAAGCATGTTTCTTCGCTTCCACATGCCGCCGCGTCGCGAAACTTTCGCCCATACTTACGACTTAACGACGATTAGTTTCCGAGATTTCGCTCGCTACGGGCGGCGATCTACTCGAGCAACGAACGTACGTCGCCGCCACGAGAGACCGGTTCCTCGTACCCGACGTGTTGCCATAATCGGCAACGGATCGCTCGCAAACATGGTTTAAGAAATCTACATACGATACGTATGTATTTACGTATATCTCGATCCATGTGTCACGTGTTATCCGTGCAGTCCCGGTCCGTGTCTTCGCTCCGTGCTCGTCCGGCTGCCCGTACAATTTATTTTTCCAATTTTCTACACCGGGACCGAGGAGAACGATGTCCAATGTAAGTCCGATCAGAGTAACTTACAATAAAAACTTCGTGTGACTTACGATATAATCTGCGATCGTAACTGATCGACTTTACTACTAATCTTGACACGATTCGATCCAATCTCGATCCGGCCAGGCGTGTGGCCCAGAATCATCGCGTATGTATCAGGAAACAAGATATGAACCGATGACCAAGGGAATTGTCAAACGAAAATACGATCTGCACTTGCCACAGTGTCTTTCTTCTCTCTTGTTGATACACTCCCATTCACTAGTCACAGGTTTCATTCGGACTTTTTAAAGACCTAAACAAAATTCAGGAATACCAATCGTATGAAATCGCATCGAACGAGAGACAGTCAGATAGAATACGATTCATTGAAAGCAAATAAAATTATATCTTGCGTCATTGCGATTGCCAGATGTTCACAATTTTTCATTTACCAGAAAGATATAATTTAATCGTCACTTGACAGAAAGTATTATTCCCTGAGCATCGGATGATCACCCATCGATGTACATAAAGAGTCATTGTAAACTGTCAGAATTGCTGGAACAATTAAATACTGAGTTATTTATATCGAGAATGGAATTTAGTTTAGAGACCACTGTCGAATCTTATACTTTTTTAACAACTGTACGTTGACTCGTGAAGGGGGTGTACATGTGTTTCCCCGATAACGGCCTGCTCTCGCATCGGCTATCCTGGAGAACAGTTTTTCAGTCTCTATTTTTGGGCAGTCTTGTGCACGCCTACGAGCACACACGTAGATTGCAGACGTTTACACAGCGTGTCTTCGATTTCCTTCCCCGAAAGAAGAGTTTAACTGCATTTAGCTCGGTTATTGGATACACGCGCACTCTGCACTGTTTTAAATACGTGCTGAAAAATTGCAACTACTTGACAATGTGTAATTGCATAGAATTAAAAAAGAGGTTTAATTGTTATAGATAGATATATACGAGAGTGTCCTCTATATACATACTTTAAAGAATGTCCTCAATACGCGCATACATCTAGACTCATGATCCAATGCAACAAGAAATTATGAAACGATTTTTCCATTGTGACTCATGTCAGTACTAAGATTATACTTAATGCTAAACGCTTAGATCTCGGAAGGGCGTGTTAGACACGTACACATACAGAGAGCTATATATCGCTGTGGAAACGAGTCTTACAAACTCGCAATTAGAATGCGTACATATCCAATTTTGTGCTACTATTGTGATCGGGGTTTCACTGTTTATGCCAGGCAACGACTTTAGCGTTCGTTAAAAATCACTTTACCTCTGCAGAGTACCAGTTACCTTTAATGGGCGTATAGTCTTTTCTACTATTAAAGTCAAACTCCTCTGATCGAGCCTTTTTTGGTCAGATTTGTCGCCATACCTCGCCTCGAGAAATAATTACAGGGTGGGTGGAAAGATATATTCTGTTCTTTGAAGAACGTCCTATCCACGTTCTGATTTTGACACGGGAAACGGTGTCGCACATATTTAAATTGATATGTTCATTTTCCTTAATTAATGGACTGCAGATTTTTATGGAATCTGGAACATCTGTGGTATACAGTTTATCAATATTTCGTGATTCTCTTTTTAGTTTATGCTCTTCTTATTTACTATGCGATTAAGGAAATAGGATGATTGCCGATGTTCCCTGTCTCCAGTCGATTGGGCTCACATTTTGAACACGAGGTGAAAGTCTCCGTTGTTTTCCATTTGTTTCCAATGAAAATAATATTGGTTTATAGTGTATGTGCATTCGAGTCGTCTATACTGTTTCACAGGAAATGTGTCAAATGACGTTTACGACGGAGAACCGGTTTTACGAAAGCTCTCGGGCCTCGCATTCCTTCGGGGATATAGTCCTGTTGATGCAAAGAAACTCATTTCGTTCATCTCTTTTTCTCGATTCGACTCAACGCGGTATTTTATTATCTAGCAATCGAAATCTTGTTTGGTTAAAAATTTGAAGTGTACGAAATTGGTAGAATGAGAAGACGAATACTATGTAACAATTAATAAACTATGGAAAAGAGTGAATTGGTGGTAGCAGTCAGGTAACACAAATTGCTGGACCAATTTTGCTAAAAGACGAAGTGAATCTCATTAACGAGAAGTCTGACTGTGGCCTCCAGGAATGGTTCGCTCGAGTATTTTTCTACTGGTCTAGAGAGGATCGCGTGCCTCCAATCGTCTTCTAAGCTGTAACAGTCACTTTCAACGAAGATCGAAACGCACGGGAAAGCCATAAATTAGTAAGCGGAGGAGGTGTAGCGTGTTAGGAGAAAACTGGCGGAAAATAAGAAAGTAAAGCAAACCATGGGGCGCGGGTCTTTTTTTTCCTCCGACTCCCTGGGATACGATGTTGTTCATCCGTCGATGACTATGGCACGGCTCAACCGTATTGCAATCGTGTCTGAGAGATCTATTTCGACCACGACGTAGCAAGTTTTCTCGGTGACCTAGTGGCGTGAATAGAACTCGTTGTCAAGCGCGTCCTTTCGAAACTGTCTAGCGAAAACTTGGACAGACCCGAGGTCTAGTTTTCTTCTGCTACTAGGTCGTTGCGCTTAATCGTTTAATGGGTGCCACGTATGAAATCATCTACCGAAATTATAATTGATCGGACAGCGTCCTCGCCTGACGCTTCATCACCCACTTCGCCCATCTTCAATCGCACAAATCTTTCAATGTCGCACCGGTACAATATGCAGAAACGGTGGGGTTGCTTAGTTGCCTCGTGAAACCTGATAAAATTCCAGCTACCGTTACCCAAAGTTTTCAATGTAATTATGAAACAGGAAAGGAAAAGGAACGAGACTCACGTTCTCTCGATAACGAACGAGAATTGCTAAAGGCATTCTCGGGCGTAGAAAATCTTTTAAACGTATGAGATATCAATTCGCAGTTCGTACGTAAATTGATTGCTCATCATTTTTAACGGTATTTCGCTGTGCAACGAAATTTCCTTCCTGCACTTGACCTGACCCGCTTACAAATATCCGAGAGATTACGAGACGCGACCATTGATCTCTCGTGAAAAGATATAAATGCGTATTTTCTATTCTTTAATAAGAATATCGGGAGTCCATTAAGAGTTTCATGTTTACGAACGTACACGTAGAATATTGCAAATGCTCATTTGTAACGTTCTACAGATTTTTCCAGGCAGGCTGCATATTTCCTGAAATCTTATCGTTTGCAATCTATTTATGAGACACTGTACGTGACAAGCAGGCTACCCCGTACGTCGTAGGTAGAAGGGAAGAAAGCCTTATGAAGAGGAAACGTAACTTCCTCGAAAGCCAGAGGTTGTCTGTGTTTATACTTTCCTCGTTTCTCTTTTGTATTCTCTTGGCGTTCCTCTTCGTATCCGTAACCATCGTCAGGGATCGTAGCGAGGCCGCAAGATTCTTCTTTTCTCTCTACCTGATTGTTTCTTTTCCATACTGTCTAACGATATGTACCGAGGCGATAGCGGCAATAGCGACAGCAGTGGCAGCAACGGCGGTAGCAGCCGCATTCCTTCTTTCTTCTTTGTTCCTCTCATCGCCTGTCTTCCTTTTACTTTAGTACCCGAAGAGGTTGCACATACCCCGTTACCGATCGCTCGACGGTATATATCGCGCTTGTAGTTACGCGTACAGTCCTCGCAGTAACACACCGTGGCACCTTAAGATGATTCGAGTATCGCAACGTTCTCCTTTCAAGTTGTTCATTTTTTCCAATCGACAAAGCTTCGGGTACGCTTGGCATCCTGCCTAGCATCGTTTATGCGCAAACTGTGCTACGGCACTGTGCTTTATCAGAATTCGCACTGATACCGAGAGAAGATTTTATTAATTATTATTTGTTTATTGATTACGAATCTAAGCATTCTCTCTTATTCATAATGTGAATCAACGTCGCTAGACTTCTTAAACTATTTCAAAGCACTTGAGATTTTTCAAGTAACGACGGTTAAATGAACTTTATCTGATTGGATAAAACCGCTGTATAATATGTCGATTTCAAGTGTACCACGCGTTCACTGTCAACAAAGTATGTAAGATCGTAATCGTGCGATAAGGCCATCCTCTGATAAATGGTAGCGAAAACTGTTGTCGAGTCGAGGATATCACGGTACTCGTTTGTAGAGTACCGATTAGCATAAAAAAAAATTGTAGCGTTAACGCGTTATCAGGCTTTAGCCAGGATTGAGTTTTCAAGGGTCTATCGTAAAATGAACAGTCTTATCGACTTTCGTTAAATTTCTCGTAGCCACTGCACTAGGAAAGAGACGTTTCTCTGTTTCTAAATAAGGAAATGCCTACGCGCCCCCACTTTTGTCGTCCTCGTCATCGTTTTTGTCTATGTCCCAGGGTACATACGTATATATGTACCACTGTGTACATACCCACGCTCTCGCGTATACACGGTGTTCCGTAAGCTCGCCATATATAGATTCCTTGGCTATCCATGAATGTCGTTTACGCATACGGCCATGCGTTCACCCATGCACATAACTTGGCTAAGTAGTTTTCTTAAACTAACAATGATCCGTATCGAATACGCGACTACGTGTCTCGCTTGATTTAACGACCTCATTTTGTAATCGCACACGTTTCTACATTATTTTTATTCCCAAGTAATTTACTGTTAATTCCCTGCAATATTAAATTCGCATTAAGCGTTGTGACACGAGAAAGTAATGGATAATTTCTAGTATTTTTCTTGCTAATAAGTTACGCAAAATCAATTAGGATAAAATCAATTGATGCCAGGCAATCAAAGATTTTTCCTCGCTATATCGCACCGGTAATGTCTTGATCGTCGGTCGTCCCGTTAGTTCAGCAGTTATGCTTTATGATTTAGACCAGGGCTTCTTAAACTTTTGTCATTCACGACCCCATTTATGATTGCGAGTTACCATTACAGTCGTCAAAATTTTGCTACGCGACCCCATTTGGGGTCGCGACCCATAGTTTAAGAAGCCCTGATTTAGACAGATACCTAGGTACGGGACGATCGAGGATCAAAGGTTTAGGAGAAAAACCCTTAGCGGCCCTTGGGAACACCATAGAGGCCGATGACCGGATTGACCTGCAGTTCGCTTCATACCGCATGGCATCCAGCAACGGGCTCGTGCCACTTCGGCTTCGTTCCATTCTCGTCATTCTCCATCTCTCTTCGCTTCTGTTATTTTGCTCGCGATCAACTCGTTCCTTCACTTACTCGTTCGTTTGCGCGCTCGTGCGAATTCACTCTTTAACCTTCTCTTCGTGTTTTCCTCCGTTCTCGTTCGCATCCATCTTTGTTCCGTTCCTGCAGAAACAGATCTTGCGTCTTTCGATTGGCACGATTAATCTTTTCTAGAAACGCGAAGGATTTCCTCTGCATTTCATAACTAGTGAATTTATAAATGGAGTAAATCAGTCGTAACAGTGGGTTTCATAAAATGGTACTCCTTGGAGTTATAAAACTGTCTCGAGATGAGTCCTGATTATGAAACTGAAGTTTCTTCGAGATGAAAAACGATTAATTGAAACTAATTAAGTTCGGCTTTGTGTGTATCATTAAAATTCTGTCTGTTAGTTGAATTGTACGAAAATTGATTTGTATGAATATTTTTGTAAAGCGCAGCGAGTAAAAAGACTTGAATCGTTTCTCATAGGATAGAGTCGCTATTTTATATAGACTCGCGAGTAACTTACATCGACCTTAAGATCTGAGAATCTTTTACTTCTTCAATGAATCTTCGATTCTTGATTTTTTCACCCTCCTTTCACTCCCACGACGTTCGCTCTCTGTCAATCTCATTGTCAGGCATTCTTCTCTCTCTGTCCCTCGTTCATCCCCTTCCCTGGATATCCACCGTCTCTTTTCCCGCTCCGTTGGAAGTCTTTCGTCGGAGTGTTGGAGTCTCTTACTTTAAGCTTCGAAAAGTAGGTAGGGTGAAAGGAATTCTCTCTGCCGTCTCCGTTTCCAAGCGGCACTCTTCGTTCCTCTTCTCTTCGTCATTCTTTCTGCCTGCCTCCTCGAGAGTTGGGCGTTCACTCACACACGTTCGGCTAGGTCATTATACCAAACGATGTACACATTCTCGTACTGTTCATACACTCGTATATCCTCCCGGCCTTCTTAGTCGGTCAGCTTTGCCTCGGGTTAAGCCGAAGCAGGTTCAACCATCTACAGTTGCTGGTACTTCCAGGCAACGTGATCCTGTTCGCTTATTAACTGCTCATGATCCAACCGTTTCCCTCCAGTTCGCTTTAGAATACGATTCGTCGTCCTAAGACAATATCAACGTTATGTTAAATGTCGAATAGCTACAGTGAAGCGCGTTTGTGAACTTCTCATTGTCAGTGAAATTCTAAAATAGAAACAATCATATGTTCGAATTATGCCTCGAATCTTTTTACTGTTAGTTTTGTCTTAAGAATTTTCGATGATTCCTGTTTGTAGGAGTGGTTTCTGGTTCATGCGTCTTCCGAAGTCGTTTATATTCGATTATCCGGTTTCGTTACGGCGTAGAAGAGAGCAGCACACGTTGATATAAAACTGTTGTCATTTATTTTATATCGGAGAGCTCGACTATTTCAACTTTTAGGCACGCATACAGACGATTTCGATCGCGGCTACCAAACTAGACACCGTGTACCGTTTTTTTCGGTACGCGCGACTTGAATGTGAAGTTGGAAGCAAAAGAAACAGCACACGACAGGGAGTGCGTTAAAATCGTAGATTAAATCTCTCTAGCTGATGAAATAAATAACGTTTCTAAATGAAACTTTCGAAATACGACGCAGTTAACCTCTGGTACGAAAAACAAGATTCGCCAACCGGAAGAGCTGTTATTCGTTTGCCACTATATAGATTCGAGCTGAAGTTTTTAGAATTGTTGATTCCAAATTGTTTGCGTCACGGACGGTCGGATGACAATATTCTCCGTTGTTTAATTACTTTATCGAAACCTACGCTCGCTGTCCTAACCGATCTGATCTGTTTAAGATAGTGCGCGATATTTTTGTCAGACGCATTCGTAAAACGGTAGAACGGACGTTAGAAGTCAACAGTTTGGTGTTGGTATAAAATTTCTTGAGCATCCATTTATAAATATATCCTTGTGACTCACAGCGTGAAAATAAGTTGCGAATTGCTTAAGAAGCTTGGCTAGCGAGACATACCTACATAACTTAAATCAATGTCACATGTATTGAAGTCAGAAATTCGTAATACAATTACGATTCGTTCTTGTATCAAACTAGCGAATCACATTTATTAGATTGTACAATCGATGAATTTGTCACCTCTCGACGTGTAAGCGTTATAAAAAATAAGTTTGCTCGCGTAAACAGGCATTAAATTAAGCACAGTATGTTCGATGACTTCAATAATGAGTCACGTTTCAGGAAACTATGATTTTAATGATGACTACCCACTCTTATTGCCTTTTAACAAACGTGTAAGAATTTGTTGTTTGTTCTTTCGCCTCGCCCTTCTAAATTAACCTAAATAATTCTAATTAATCACTTATCTATAGAATCGTTCTGTCGTCATTTTATTAATACTGTACCAGCGAAAACAGTGTAAATCGTGTCGTGTGATCTACAATTTTGTAAACGGTGTCTAAATTTAGAGCCAAGTCGAAGTTTTGTCTGAGCAATATTATTTCCCACTGTGTTGGATCGCGGCTGACTCGATTCTATAAGTAAAGCCCTTGTTAAATGCTGCTCAAGTTTTGTATCTTTAAAACTGTATCGTCGTGCGAATCATTTTCCCGATCGATTTTGCCTGGAGACCGAGCGCGATCGTCTTCGCTTCACGAAACGTTTGATCCGTGCCACGAATCGCGGTCTTCGTGATTACGACATCGATGATGTCATAGAATCCACTGCATGTAACCGGTACAAGCATCGATTCAGCGCGTCTTACGACCCACGCTCCCACAATCGAATACATAGATTTTTATTCCTACTCATAACAACCGTCTCCTACCATCTCCAGTTACTTTTCCAAACTCGCTTTTACGCCTTTTTCTGTTTGGAGATGTCTCCCAAAATAGCTCGTTGCTCTCGCCGCAGTCTTTACGCCGCTCGTTCACGAACAAGTGTTCGCGAAACTCGAGCACGTAATAAATATTCGACTCTTTCGAATGCGTAAGTTAAATGGACGATCAAGTATCGTACTTACTATTTACCGTGCGACGAAGAAAAATCTTATTTCTGAAAATTGCCTGAACCGACTTCCGATGACTCATAATGCGAGCTAAATACTTGGAATGCAATCTTGTTATTCCACAGTCCTCAGTGTCAAATCATCAATCTATGAAATGATTATCGCTCGAACGAATAATTAGTTTGCTCCTGTTTATGTGATCGTTATCAAATCCAAGAATATCGTCTTCGCCAAACCGATCGACTTCGATCTAAATTCAAAAGCATATGATATAATTTATTGACGATGAAGCATAGTCGATGGATCGATCGACGACTGAGACGTAGTGTCGATTCTGTAAATTGCTACAAGAAGAAATCGGAATAGAGTGGGTATAGAGATCGGGAAGGTAAGAAAGGAACGTAATACGTACAGCTGATGTCAGCTCAGCTGTAATGAGCAATGTTGCTAAAAGTGGATATGATGCTGTGTTCTTCTCGCCCGTGCACTCTGAGTGTCCTCTCTTTTCATTCACATTCTTATGTTCGTTCACGCATGCGTACTATATAAACTTCTACACACGCATTTCCACGTAACACGTACGTACACATATCTATATGATCACCGATACTTATAATCGGCAAGTGTGACTGTGAGAACAAGTTTAATGCCGATTTATTGTATAGTGAACAAAATGAAATACCGTTTTTCAAGTTCCCTCGGATTACGAGGTTACATACGATTCTGTTAAGGTTCTTAAGCTGTTTCACTTCCTCTTCTCACACTTCGACACTCGCCTTCTAGGCTTAATAAGTTAGGCAGTCGCTTTCCTGACTCACGAAACAATGTGACAAACATGATTTTGTCTCTCTCGAGCTAATACGTTTCACGCGTCTCACGCGTCTCACGTTTTACATGACTTATAACGTAAGACACGAAAAGGTGTGACTAGAATTGAGCAATGGGCACGTTTGTTCCTTGTTGCAGAAATCGCTAAAGTTCGGGCGAGTCTTTTTCAAATCAGTGGCGTCAAGAAGGAACCACTGGTGTTGCCAGAGCCGGACGGTGAAGTTAAAACGCTTATGGAGAAAGTTTATGTACCTGTGAAAGAACATCCAGACGTAAGTACCCGTGTTAGAAAAGCGACGCGTTAAATTCGATCCGAATTAAACAGATCGCACGTGCCTCATCCGAAATCTTGTTACCTCTGTTACAGTTCAATTTTGTCGGGAGAATTCTCGGACCGCGTGGGATGACAGCCAAACAATTAGAACAAGAGACAGGATGTAAAATTATGGTCAGAGGCAAAGGTTCCATGAGGGATAAGAAAAAGGTACGATTCTTCTCTACTTACTCTCTTTAAATAGATTATAAATAATTAGCCGAGCGAAATATTTTTTCCAAGCTGCTTGTGATTCTTGTGATGAAATCTCGTCGTAAGTACAAGCGTTAACATTTACCAGATTAAACGTTTACAAGCACACGAATGTAATTATTTCTTTTCCGTAGTTAACGACCGTTTCATTTATCGAATGCATAAAATTCCGTAATGTTCTAAATAGTATCCGAGTACCTGACGATTGATCACCCCTTATATACTTTTTATAAGTTGCATTACACGATATTAATTACTTTATTAGGAAGAATTAAATCGAGGTAAACCAAACTGGGAACACCTGACAGACGAACTGCATGTTCTACTGACAGTAGAAGATACTGAAAATCGTGCCACATTGAAACTTGCCAGAGCCGTCGAAGAAGTCAAGAAGCTTCTCGTTCCCGTGGTGAGATAGTTCCTATTATTAATTTTAATATTTAGCTATACCTATTTCTCTGTTGTACATGTCGAAATAATGTGTGTAAATGAATTCTACCGAGTCGGTATCAAACGTTTTCGGAACTACATGAACTATTTGAGATTATTACTAAGTAAGAAGAGGGATAGAGCCCAGTCCATTGGACGACTCGGAACCACCGAAAGAGTATTGATATACATCTTATTGTACGTGTATTGGTTGTTAGCAGGCTGATGGAGAGGACGAGTTGAAGAAACGACAATTGATGGAACTAGCTATCATCAACGGAACGTATCGAGACTCTAACACGAAAGTTGCTGCAGCTACAGGTACAGAGAATCTCCTAATTTTCAGTTTATACGCAGCATCGCAATTGAAATACTCGTTTTCTAGAAGATTTCAATTCTCTCATTGCGTACCGTGTCTAATGCGTCTGACACATTTTATAACACGTAACGTCGAATGTTGCAGCCTGCGACGAAGAATGGAGACGCGTGGCGGCGGCTGCGGCGGAGACGCAGCGGCTCCTTCCAGGTCTAACCACACCCATGAGAGCGCCGAGCGCTCCGTTGGGTGCACCGTTGATACTCTCGCCACGGATATCCGTCCCGACGACTGCGGCGTCTCTTCTGAACGGTTCCGGGCCCCCAGGATCGCTCCTTTCAGCTGGCGATCCCCACGGGCTGATCTACACGCCGTACGCCGACTACGCCAACTACGCGGCCTTAGCAGCCTCGCCCCTCCTCACGGATTACACCACTGCTGATCATTCTGGTGGGTTGTTTGCTCGCTGACCTTTGTTGCGATATCATTTACTCTATTTTATCATCCTTCTTGCTGCTACCT